CCTGGGCTACCTGATTTCGGATCAAGGTCTAACTATGGACCCTCAGAAAGTCCAGGCGGTGAAGGACTGGCCCCTACCAACCAGCCTGAAGCAACTGCAGAGTTTTCTGGGTTTCTGCAACTTTTACCGTCGATTTATCAAAGACTTTAGCACCATTGTGGCACCTCTCACCTCTCTCACCCGACCGAGCCCTCCTGGTCAACCGTTCCGGCTCACCCCAGATGCCGTTCGGGCCTTCCACTACCTAGTCGCTCGTTTTACATCGGCTCCTATCCTGCGCTATCCGGATCAGGCAGTCCCTTTTGTGGTTGAGGTCGGCGCTTCGGATGTCGGCGCCATCCTGTCCCAAGGCGGCCCAGATGACAGGCTACACCCCTGCGCCTACTTCTCCAGGAAGTTTTCCACCACCCAGCAGAAGTACGGCGTAGGGGATCGCGAGCTGCTGGCCATAAAATGGGCGTTGGAGGAATGGAGGCAGTGGCTTCTGGGCACCCCTCAGCCGTTCACCATCTGGACTGACCACCAGAACCTAACCCACATCCGGTCCGCCAAGCAGCTAAATCCTCACCAGGCTCGCTGGGTCCTCTTCTTCGAACCCTACGAGTTCCATCTCGCCTATCGCCCCGGGACTAAAAACCAGAAGGCGGACGCCCTCTCCCGCCAGTTCACACATTCAGCGCCATGACCCAGCGCCGCCAGAGACCCCCGCCAGTCGGCTCTACGTCCCCGCGGCCTGTCGCAGTGAGGCGTTGGCCTGGGCCCACTCATCACGCCTGTCTGGTCACACGGGCTTCTCTCTGACTCTCAAGTTCTTGAAACGGGCTCTCTGGTGGCCACATATGGAGAGGGACGTTAAGGAATTCACGAGCGCCTGTGACGTCTGTGCCCGCTCTAAGGCATCCACCCAGGCTCCGGTTGGCACCCTCAGTCCTCTTCCGGTGCCCAGCCACCCCTGGTCCCATGTGGGGCTGGACTTTGTCACAGGTCTCCCGCCGGTCAACGACCTCGACACCATCCTAACGGTCACTGACCGGTTTTCCAAAGCTGTTCACTTCATCGCCCTCCCGGGCCTTCCCTCGGCCCGACACACTGCAGAAATGTTTCTGGAGAATGTGGTGTGTCTCCACGGGTTCCCGGTCGACGTGGTCTCAGATCGTGGTCCCCAGTTCACGGCCCGTCTCTGGAAAGCCTTCTGCCATCTAGTGGGAGCTTCTGTAGGCCTGTCTTCGGGCTACCACCCACAGACCAACGGTCAATCGGAGCGGGCGAACCAACAGTTGGGCCGGTACCTCCGCTGCTTTGTCTCGACCCAGCCCTCGCAGTGGCCTAAGTACCTCCTCTGGGCGGAGCTGTCCCATAATCTTCACACCTCCTCGGCCACTCAGATGTCCCCTTTCGAGGTCTGCTATGGCTACCAGCCCCCAGTCTTCGCCCACCAGGAACCCGAAGTCGCGGTGCCAGCCGCTCAATCCCTGGTGAGGCGTTGCAAGAACGCATGGATCAAGGCGCGGGCCTCCATTACCCGGGCCAACGCCCATTACTCACACCAACACCTCCGCAGGCACCGCCCAGGTCCCTCCTATGCTCCAGGGGACAAGGTCTGGGTGTCCACGGCAGGCTTCCGGGTCCGCGCCGGTTACAGGAAGCTCGCTCCCCGGTTCCTCGGGCCCTACCCCGTGCAGGAGGTCATCAACCCGGTCACGTACCGGCTGCGGCTGCCTACAAGCCTTCGCTTCCATCCTACCTTCCACACCTCCCGGCTCAAGCCTTACGTGGAATACCCCCTCCTGCCACCTCAGGCTCCAGCACCTCCGCCGGCCCGCTTCCTCGACGGTGAGCCCATCTACACAGTCCGGCGCATTCTGGACGCTCGCCGCCGGGGTCGGGGCTGGCAGTACCTTGTAGATTGGGCGGACTACGGCCCCGAGGAACACTCCTGGGAGCCGGCCTGCTCCATCTTGGACCCTGCCCTCATCTCGGACTTCTGGGCCCACCGAGGTGGCCTGGGGACTTCTGGAGCCGTCCCTGGACCGGGGGGTCCTCCTGTCAGAGTCCAAGCCCCCAGGCCGGGCTCTCCCAGCTGACCGACTTCCGTCTTGGACCACATTACCCAGCATGCCCCTCGCGGGGATTCCCTCCACGTTTCACCTGCGTCATCCATGTCTATATATGGAAGACGCTACACCGGCTCTTCACTCAGTCATCATTCCACCGTGATCCATGATCAGAGTATTTCCAAAGCTACTACAGCTAAACCTCCACCTTTCCTCCTCAGACCTCATCCGTCTGCCGTTCCAGCACCGCTTTCAGCCCACCATCTGTATAATAAACGCTCTTACTCCCGAACCCAGTCTTCGAGTCTGACACATTGGTTAATCTGTGGATTTAAAAGTACTGTTTGACCCAGCTGGGTAAATGTGACCTTTGCCACAAATTAGAGAACCTTGATGATGCTACAATGGCTAACAAACAGAGAACACACACCTCGGTAGAACCTGAACACTGGAACACGTCTTGGTGGCTCCCAATGACGTATCTCCTAGGCAACCGGGGCGGGGCCAAGACATCAAGGCAAGATTCCTTGGCATTGAGAAACACCCATTGTCTTTGGTCCATAGCATTTCAATCCATGCTAGCAATAGGATTAATATTATTGTTGTATATATTAACATGTAGGAAAACATCCATACAAATTGGCCTAGGTCTGTCTGGAGAGAGAGAGAGAGAGAGAGAGAGAGAGAGAGAGAGAGAGAGAGAGAGAGAGAGAGAGAGAGAGAGAGAGAGAGAGAGAGAGAGAGAGAGAGAGAGAGAGAGAGAGAGAGAGAGAGAGAGAGAGAGAGAGAGAGAGAGAGAGAGAGAGAGAGAGAGAGAGAGAGATTTTCATATTGTATTATATATAAATAAATGTAGCCATACCTTTTGCAATGGGGAGTGCCTAATGCTTCCCTCGATAATTTTTTAAGGGGAGTACTGGCACTTCTTTTTTTTCCTTTTAAGGGGAGTACTGGCACTTCTTTTTTTTCCACTTCAAGCACTGGCTGCGAGGCAACAGTGCTAAGAACTGCACCACCTAATCAGTCACAAAGTTGAACATGAAAATTGTCCCCTACACTCATCTCCTGCATTAGCTTCTGATAGAAAACAGACAGTGAAACGCTGGGATTTAAAGGGACTTTACAGAGTTTTGAATTTTTATGCTCGCGATTGTCCCCTCAGGCCAAAAGCGTAACAGCAGCTTCAATAGTAGGCTCGTGCACGAGGTGCACATGCTGTACGTGCACACTCCTTAACGAAAAATAACAGCTGAGACAGTCAGCTCCGTGTGTGTGTGTGTGTGTGTGTGTGTGTGTGTGTGTGTGTGTGTGTGTGTGTGTGTGTGTGTGTGTGTGTGTGGCCCGGAGGACAGAGGACAGGAGAACGCGCAGCTAATTAAAAAATTTTTTTGGTTCTGTACCTTTCTCTTCAGCACAGCCAACAAAGGTTTAAGATGGGTCAGTCCTCCTGCATGCTCTTGAAAAATTGTTCCAAAATGAAAGTTGAACCCACATCTTTTTTATCTGTGAATGCAATGCCGTTCGGCGAGTCTCAAATAAAAATTTGGGCATCTTACTGTAAAAAAATATACCATTAATGTAAAAAAAAAAATTCTAAATAAACTATGTTCACATCCAGAATCAAACCCGGGTCTTCGGCACTAAAGTCCCGCGTCTTACTAGGCAGGCTATCACGCCAGTGATGTCACTTGTATCTGTACCATTTAAGAACGGTTCGGAGGGCTATGCCTGAGCGTGAACGCGCATGAAGCAGCCTGCTCGACCCGGGCAGCTCTCTTTTTCTGTGATTTCACAGAAAAACAGGCAATCACATTAAAAATGCCAGGGCTCATTTTACAGGACCAGGGCATTGCAGGAGAATGTATGAAGAAGAAATTTATTATTTCTATACATGTTTTGGCTGTCAAACTTCCATAATGCCCCTATGAACATTTCAGCTATCTAGTTTTTAAACATTGTTCAAAGATTTCAGTTTTCTGCTGTTTAGCATTTTTTTCTCCATTCTTCACCTACATTTTGAGCTTTATTACACTTTTTGGTGATTTTTACTTCTAAATCTGTAAATACATTCAGCTCATTTTGACAGTTTAGCTTCAGCAGCTTCAGCAATCAGTTTCTGAATTCGGCATAGGCTGCTCATTTCACAGTTCAGCTAAATGTAAAAATTAAACTGTTAAACTAGTCCTACTCAAATAACAAGTGTTTAGACATTTTTGCTGTCCAGATTTTCAAATAATGTTCACAGATTTCAGTTTTCTGCTGTTTAGGATTTTTTCCCCCCGTTCTTCACTTTTTGTGGTTTATTCACTTTTTGGTGCTTTTTGCTTCTAAATCTTTCAAAACATTCAGCTCATTTCGACTGTTTTGTTTACTTTCAGCTTCAGTTCAGCTATTAAGCTGATTCAGCTTACAGTTTACGCTATCCAGCATTCAAACAGCATTTCTGCAAGAGATGCAATTTATCTAGTTGTTGTATGTTTACCTGACAGTTAGCTTGTAAATGGCTTATAAAATAACGTTATATACTGTAAACAATAAATTTCTTCCATTGTTTGTCATTCATGGAATCATGACAAACACGGTCTTTTTCATAAATGAATCACGGCAAACATTGTATATTTTTGCTAATAATTATACTACAGTTCTGTATTTTCGAGTAATTTCACCTATTTACAATAAACCATGCTTAATAAGCATGTTACTATACTGTAAACAAGAGCAAAACTGTCATAACACGCTGCGGTAGGAATATTCGATGAAGAAGCATGGATAGTTAGAACACCGGCCCTTAGAGGGAGTAATGCAAGTATGATCTTGTGTTTCTAAATTATTTATTGCTGTAAAGTTTAATTTTTTATGTTCTAAGAGTGGAGCTAATTACAAGCTGATCATTATGTGAGGCGAGGAGATTCAAGAACTTACCTTAACATTTATAGTTACAGCCAGTCATTTCACAATGGACATTTTATTTTTTAGTTTTGTGTCATTCACCAATAAAACACAACATATTCTTTCATTAAAGGCTCAGCCTCTTTTCAATAAAACAAACACAAATAATAATAAGTGAAACATAAAATACATATATTTACATGTGAATAAATCTTATTTTTCTTTCAGTAGTCATCCACTTGTTTCAATTGATCCTTTCCATGTTGGATATCACAGGACACAAACCGTTGTTTTGAGTCACGCAGGGGTGACATTTCTTACAGTAGAAAACCAGCAGTGCACTTTTATAGCAGAAAATTCATTAATTTATGTTTTTCTCTTCACAGCTCTGTGTTGAAAGTCTGAACTAACACAGAGATTCAAACAAAAATCTCACGCACGCACGCACGCACGCACACACACACACACACACACACACACACACACACACACGCACACACACACACACACACACACACACACACACACACACACACACACACACACTCATTCAAGTGCACTCGGATAATTTTTGCATTGCCTTCCAGTCATAATCAGTAGTGATTCACCGTTATAATTTTTACTTTGTTCGTGTTCTTATAAGTTACATTTTTAAATGTCGATGTTGGGCTCCTGAACAGAGGGTTGGTCCCCTGCAGAGAGAAAAATAAAAAGATTGTTATTACCAATGCTCTCCAAGAAACGATCAAAACCAATGTGTGGTTAGTTATGTTTTATGTCTCTAGTTTTTGCTTTGTTTTTCACCCTCTTTTTATGCAAGGTCAAAATAAATATCAAAGTATATCATTTTATTTAAACTATTCTGGTCTTAACGTCACTTTAAAAAAGGACATGAATTTGTTTTCACAGATTTTTTTAAGTATCTGTCTGATCAACATTTACACAATGTCTCAGTGCATTTATATGTGCATTTAAGTTGATCTACGGCAATAAGCTGGGAGGGTTTAACCTAGTTTAGATGTATGTTAGAAAACCAAACTCTGAAATGTGTTCCGCTACGGTAGCTGGCGACATGTGCCCTGTCGTGTCTGTATCCTTCGGGTTATCCTATAGCGACACAAATAGTAAGAACCAGTTTGTCTTTAGCCAGACTAGTGTGCTTACATGCCTTTAAATAAAACAAGTCCATTAAAGCAATAGTTTGGTTTTGCAGCGCATTTACACACATAGCCTAAAGAACTAGACCAAATTTTTGCTTTGCAAAGTTTGGTCTAGGAACGCTCAGTTGGAACCTCTGCAGCCCCTAGCAGCATTCCGGGGGCCAAACACAGCTCTCTATAGGGGTTTCAAACTAATAGAGTGCTGTGATTGGTCCACAATGGTGAGCCAGTCACAGCGCTCTATCCACTTTGCAGGCCAATCGCAGCCCTCTATCAGCTTTGTCGGGCAATCAGGGCTCTCTATTCGTCTGGTGGGCGGGATGATGCAGTTGGGCAAGCGGCCCACTGGGACAGTGCCAGAATGCCAGATAGGCCAGTATACCCCTGCTGGTAGTTTTTCCAGTCATTTATTAGTCGAAATCTCTGAGATTTCTGAAAAAATAACATCTATCTGTCCTCAAACACCAGCCATCCACCATCTCTCCCAGTGCCGCCTCTCTCGATAAGCCAGACATGTGCTCCAGGAGGCGCTGCATCATGAGCAAAAGGCACTACTGTGAGGTGCGCTGCACATACAGCATCGACAGCCCATGTGAGTACAGGCACTTATTTTTTTTATCACTTCAACCACTGGTTATTCTGTCCCTGAGTATTCTAAAATTTCAACAGGAAATGTTCCTTGCTGAACAGGAAGTGCAACAGATCGTCCTCTAATTTGTGCAATTTTTTATTAATAGGTATGATATTTTGAGATTTTCTTTCAGACAAAAGAAACCCACTCTGGAATAACCCTGTATTGATTAATGTGTAGCTTGCCAGTCTGTTCAGGACTGATCTGTATTTCTCCAAACTGAGGTTATTCAATCATGCTACAACAGGAAAGACTAAATTTTCACAACCCCTTCACTGAAAACCCTCTTGTGAAGGTTCGGACTATTCCCCCAACAAACAACTTACTGATTGCCATCTTGCCTTAGCCCGCTCCGCCTCAAACCGGGCCACTTCCTTCTGGTCATGGACCGACACCAGCACCTTCCACACCACCAGCAGTAACACACCAATTAACACAACAGAAAGGGTGACACCCAGAATAATTCCCATAATTTTGGGATTCTCATGGCATCCTGCAATCGAACAAAAGACAAAATGAGAACAGTGTAGGCGTTCTGGGACATTCAATCAGCTTTGTTTTGGTATAAACCTTACCGTACATCTGAAGACCATAGACGGTGGTCCCCATCTCACTTTCACCTACATTAAAGGACACCCAGCACTGATTTTCAGTCATCACTATGCACGGTATGGAAGAGCTTTTGTCATGTTCTGCAAAACAATGTGAACACACACATCAATATGGGAGTAGCGAATCCTTTGCGTTTATATCATCACCCTCTTTTGTAGTTGAACCCCAAATGTAAAATGATATTCTCTCCTCTGTTGTGTTGTCTGTGTGATTTCCATATCAAAGGTTTTGATCTGATGTGTGGGTCACACAAAAGCCTGAAAAACCTTGGTGATGATCTGATATACCTAGCTTGGATGGCAGTTTTAAAATCAGCTCTTGTATGAAGGAAGACCAGGTCCTTCGGCTATTCACATGCACTACAATAGCTGTGCCTGTACAACAAGGTAAATAATACGTTCCCTATTGTCCCATTGGACCCAAAAGGACATGGTTTGTTTTATGTTGAAGAGGGGTCGCAGGCTTCAGAGAGACACATGAGTCAAAGGAGGTTCCTCTAAATCACTGAACCGAGATGACGCTGATGTTGTAATCAAAAACTCAACTGTGAGAAAAATGTCTGATAATGATCAGAACTAGTTTTAGGATATTAAAAACCAACATATTTGTTTCCTGAAGGCACCTTTTTCACATTATTAAGAACTTCTTCTGTTACGTTCCCTCCACTTGTTAGAATGAGCACAAATGAGTAAAGAAACCTGCTCAGACTTGAATCCTGCTTGAGATCCTGTTGGGTGGTTGCTCAGAGAGAAAACATGCAGTTACTTATTAACGTTACATGATTGTGTCATGGTGACGGTTAGAAGCAGTTTAATGTTTCATATCAACCTTTCGTTAGAAAATGTGACATTCAGGTTTTGGTGCCAGCAGTCTTGCACGCTTCAACAAGTCTGTTCCCAACAATGACAACAAGTAAGCGTTATTCCATGCCAACTCTCCCAGGCTAAACGTCCGCTTCATGACACTGAGCTAAATCAGATAAAATGTTGGTTTTTTGTAATTAGTTTTTTTTAATCTAAGCTGGAATTTGTTTAAAATACTTTGGAAGATTATTTTCAGTTATAAAACTTTTGCTAAAGTTTGTAATCAAATCAATAAATACAATCTTTAGCAATCACAGTCCCAGAACTATAACTTTAAAGTGACAACGTGTAGTTTACCAAAACAAATATCCATCAAAATGTTGTTGAAAATTAAGTAAAATAATGCCCAGTTGTTGAAAAATATTTGTGGCTTTGTAACATATAGCCATAAAAATGGGGTTTAAAGTACATGAGAGCAGTCTCTGGGTGACGCCATATTTCCTTCTACATGACCCCGTGAGGACAGAATGTGTTTATTGGTTTGTAACAAATGATTACAAAACTTTCACCATTCATAAATGTTGTTTTACACATTTACCTCTTTGCTTGTTGCTAGTGATGAAAGAGAGTCTGATGTTTTTGTCATTTTGATGGAGGTTGAACAGTCTGACAAGAAATAGCACTTCCAGGGATTTTTGACCCTAATGACCATCCGTTGTTAAGGTCTTACTTGAACGCAAAAATACCACTTGCTTGCAATGGTTTAGAAATTTTCTGCCCCTATCGCCAGGGAAAATGCACACTGTCACTTTAACAGTTATGTAAAGGAATAATTGAAAACTTTTCTATCTAAATACACATTTAGAGAGATTAGTAGTTTTTATGAACATAATCTCTGTAACACTAACTGACTTCACTGAGACTAGCCGTGAGCTCATCAATCCTCATCTCAGGGCGGACCGGGTGTTTTCAGTTGTGGCCCCTAAACTCTGCAAAACCTACCTTTATATACCAGGCACACTTATTTTCAACTGCCTTTGATACCACATGAAATAACTTTTAAAACCTTTTTAGCTTTGTTGGTCAATTTTTGTTTTGATTCATTTTTGTGTTAAATAGATTTAAGGTGCATTTTTTTAACTTTACTTTAACTCTTATTTTTGTATAAATCTTGTTTTATATCATTTTTATGACATTTTTTGTACAGCAATTTTGTTTCGAACCTTTCAGTTTTTAAAATGTGTTATTATTGAATTAGCTTTGAATATGATCCATACTAATGTCCGTTTCTCCAAACTATGGCACTTCAAAGGGCTTCAAACAGGTTTAGAACTTCCTTTCAACAGATCTGAACTATCTCATAAGGTATTCTCATTTTGTGTGTTTCTGGGCAACATTTTATTATTTCAAAAGTTATCGAACTCACTTCTGAAAGTATTTACAGCAAAGTTATAGGATTTCTGACAGTTTGTGAGCTTAATAACAGTTTTTCTCATGACTTGAACAAAAATTTGGGCAAATTAAAGCAGAAATATCTGCAACTAAATGTAAAGCAGAACCAATGTCATTGTTATGAGATGCAAAGAGCTCATAGACAACATGCAACAAGCTCTGCAGATGTAAATTAACAGGAAACATCAGAGTCATATGGATCTTTAATAGCAGCACAGATGCTTCTGGGAGTGGGAACATGTTGAGTTTTTTACCTGCTGTTCTGTTGATGGAAACTTTAGCAGCGCTGCACTTTTGATCACACGACTCAGTATTATCAGTTTTTTGAACATGGCACTCCACACAAGACCTGGTTTTAAACACAGAGACAAATGAACATATGGGTATCTATGGACAATAAGGCTCTGATCATTGACACAGGCCTTTCAGATGAATCGGTGTTTCCACTTATCAACATTTTCCCAAGGCTTTACTCGCACTCGATCACAAGCCTCCCCTATAACAGTGGTATCAAATTGCAGCAGGCCTGACAGCTGCTTTACAAAGGCAGAAAGGAAATCTCTGAGTGCTATGTTGGAGACATTTGTGTTTTTTTTTGTTACAAGGAAGGTGTAGACACATGTGAATAAGGGAAGAACCTGATATTCCTGAACTCAAAAGAACAGACGGCTCACATAGCAACATCAGAAAAAAACATCTAATGCGGTATTTTTTAGGTGAAGAAGCATCAATTATAGTAGACAGCCTCCACATGACACCCTTATTTATTTAAAGATAAGATAGCTAATTGTGTACTCACTGTGCAAAGGCACAGGACTCTCCACATGTGGGGCACTTTTCACATTTCTCCCCAGAAGCTCCAGGAACCGAGCACACACACTGGCCACACTTGCATGTGCCCCTGCCGCTGCAGAGGCTGCCATCCTCAGACTTGCACGTGTCAGTGCTGTTGCTGCAGTTGCAGTATTCCCCCGTCCAGCCGCTTTCACAGTGACACTCCCCGCAGCTGCACACGCCGTGACCTACGAGCATAGCATTCCTCAAAAAACAAACGTGCTAGCAATAAAAACGCGTCAACAAGTCACAGCATTCCCATGTAATCACTCACCTCCACAGAGTTCCCCGCGGAAACGAACACAGGAGTAATTGTCGCACTCGCAGTAAGGTCCATAGATGCGACCAAAGCTGGATGCATGACACACACACTTCCCGCAATAGCAGTCCCCCTGACCACTGCATAACTCAGAGTCATTGGTCGCGAGGCACTTACTCAACAATACACTCTCCTCATTGCATTCACACTGGGCTCCCAGAAAGCCTGGGTGACACACACACATGCCACAGTGGAACACTCCTTGGCCCTCGGAGCACTGGCTGCTGTCAGATGTAGGAGGTTCCTGGCAGTCACAGGAGCAAAGCGACTCCACTTCTACCTCCAAGCTGTCCTGCAGTCCCACCGGCTTGAGGATATAGTGCCGAACTCCTGACAGACATCTGGGTAGCTCTATGGACACGTTAAACACCACCTGCAGAGCAAAGAAGAGGTTTTAAGAAGCGAAACCCCAAAATTAAAACTGATCCTGTGGGTTTTTGGAGTCGCTGGTGCTCTAGATTTGTGGAAGTGAATCGTTTAAAATGAACTGCATCATGCAAAATCCACTTTTATAACTTTTGGCCATGTTATATTTTAATGTCCTCATTAAATACACACCCAAAGCATTTTTTGGCTTCACACATGCATTTCCCCATCTCAGCTGCTTCTTCCCTTCAGCTCTGTTAAACCCTGCTAAGCTATTGCAAAAGGCTGGATGGGGCATGGTTATGTGATCATACCCCACTCCTCCCCATCCAGGTAGTCTTGAATCTGGATCCCTCTTCCCCTGGACTGTAAATACTAATGCCCAGTCTCTATGTAGCTAGTGGGGAGTTTAATCTCCACAGTTGTAAAGAAGGGATTTCCTTCTTATCTAGTCTGCACCTTTAAAAATACCTAGAACCCAAGAGGTACATGATCCCTGTCCAGTCTTCCTGAAGAAGAATTCAGTCTGTGGAGATGGTGGATTTTATCATCATCAGCTCTCAAAAACTGAGCTAGAATGTGACCTTGGTTTCACAAACAGCTTTTTCACCACCAGTACCGGAGTGGGTTTTCACACAGAAAGCTTCTTCAAACGGCCGCCGTGCAAACGCCAAGTGGGACATGTTGGCCACTGGGATATGTCCCGGTGCTTCTGATTCACCACTGCTAGTGTGATTCAAAAGCTTCTTTGCTGGAGATATGTTATGAAGTGGGTGTAATTCACTTGGCTGGAGGCAGCGTTTCATTCAGTCCACCCATGCACCCCCCCACCCCCACCCCACCCCACCCCCCCACCCCCCACCCCACACACACACACACCAAGTGGTGATGAGCTACACATCCATGGCTGCCCTGGGGCTCACTAACAGAGGCAAGACTGCCGTACACAGGTACCACCAGCATCAAACACCACCAGCAGGCAAGGAGGGTGAAGTGTCTTGACCAAGGACACAACAAAACTGACAGACTGATTGGGGATCGAACCTACAACCGTCCAATTATGGGGCAGAGACTTAACTCTTCTGGCACTGTTGTTTCTATTTCATAAAAAATGACATCTCAAAAGTGCCAATGATAATATTTTATCATACGCTGGTCAAAAAATTTGAATATCATAACAAAGTTGATTTATTTCTGGGATTCTATTAAAAAAACGAAACTTGTGTATTAGATTAATTCATTACATGCAGACTGATATATTTCAAATGCTTTTTTCTTTAATTTTGATTATTATAACTGACTACTAATTAAGTATCTCAGAATATTAAAATCTTTTGAAAAGGTTAAATATTGAAGACCCCTTGTTCCATAGCCTGGCCTGCCAGACTCGTCCTCTGTTTAATTCTGCACAGAGAAAGAGTCTGGTAACTCACAGGCAGAGGCACATGAGGGGCGGGACTAGGCAGCTCAAAAATAACCAATCAGAAAAAAGACAGAAATGCAGACTGTACCGCGAGACGCTGTAGTTTTTTTTAGCTGTAGTAAAATAAGGCACCTGGCAATGGTGCAAACATCTTTATTTATTTACTTTTTGGGAAGAAATGTTTTTAGTGCTTCTACTTGTTGTGGTTTTGAAGACATTCAAGTCATTTAGAACAGAGGAAAGAGCCGCAGCGAACTCCGCTTCAGTCTCCATGTTTATGACAAACTCGGCGTTGTGGTGTGTGACGTACGATACTCAGCACTGATTGGCTCGGTTACAATTCTCAGGGGGTGGGGCTATTTGAATACGAGAGTTCCCAGACCCTCTATCTGTGCAGAATTAAACAGAGGAGGAGTCTGGTAGGCCAGGCTATTTGTTCCACACTCTAATTGGCTAATTATGCTGCCCCAAAGTTGTGGAACTCTCTACCTGTTATAGTTCGACTGGCTCCATCATTGGCGGTTTTTAAATCTCGTTTAAAGACCCACTTCTATGACATGGCTTTTAGACAGTGACTTGTTTTATTGTTTTATTGTATTATTGTTTTAATGTGTTCTTAGTATTCCTAATGTTTTATTTGCTTTTATTGATCAGTATTGTTATCCTCTGTTTTTTGTGTTGCTTTGATTAGTGGTGATTTGGTCCAGCTTGTGTAGCACTTTGGGCAGCTCCCCTGCTGCATTTTAAATGTGCTATATAAAAAATTATGGTATGGTAATTAACTCAAAACACATGCAAAAGCCTTTAAACCATCTCTCAGTCTAGTTCTGTCAGCTACTCAATCATGGGGAAGACTGCTGACTTGACATTTGTCCAAAAGACAACCATTGACACCTTGCACAAAGAGGACAAGACACAAAAGGCCATTGCTAAAGACCTTTTGTGTCTTTGGCAATGTCTTTGTCCAGTGTAAAGTTTCTACAGTCAGTGATGATTTGGGGTGCCATGTCACCTGCTAGTGTTGGTCCGTTTTGTTATCTGAGGTTCAAGGTCAATGCAGCCATCTACCAGGAAGTTTTAGAGCGCTTCACGCTTCCTGCTGTAGCTGTTGACCAACTTTATGGAGATGCTGGTTTAATTTTCCAACAGTACTTGGCACCTGCACACAGTGCCAAAGCTGCCAGTGCCTGGTTTAAGGACCATGGTATCCTTGTTCTTGATTGGCCAGCAAACTGGCCTGACTTTAACCCCATAGAAAAGCTATAGGGTATTGTAAAGAGGAAGATGCAACACACCAGACCAACAATCCAGAAGAGCTGAAGGCTACTATCAGAGCAGCATGGCCTCTCATAGCACCTGAGCAGTGCCACAGACGTATCGACTCCATGCCACGCTGCATTGCTGCAGTAATCCAGGCCAAAGGAGCCCCAACTAAATACTGAGTGCTGTACATGCTCATATTTTTCATGTTCATACTTTCAGTTGGCCAACAATTCTAAAAGTCTTTTTTTTTGCTTTGGTCTTAGTTGATATTCTAATTTCTGAAATACTGAATTTGGGATTTTCATCAATCATCAATTATAATCATCAATGTTAAAAGAAAAAAATATATCAGTCTGTGTGTAATGAATTATTCTAATATACAAGTTTCACTGTTTGAATGGAATTACTGAAATAAATCAACTTAGTCATGACATTCTAATTTTACGACCAGAATCTGTATTTTGCCTACTGTTGCTCTGGAATGTGTAAACAGCTTGATGTTTTTTTTTAAAGCAGTGGATCTTAACCTTTTTCCTTGCCTGTGTCCATGACAAGCCAAGGACACCAACACCATCGCACATGTCACACATTCACACATTAAGTTATTCATTACAAACCTTTACAGAACTCCAGAGTTATACCTCTTGTACAGAGTTTTGATTATACTATTGGGTGTGTTATTAAGATTTTATAAATGTAATGTTTAGTCTTTGTAACCTCACAGCCTCAGAAAAGACCAAATTGTGGGGAACCCATGCAATCTTGTAGGGATCTCCATGGGGGTACGGACCCATGTTAGGGACCACTGCTTTATAGAAAGCCTGCAAAGTGTAAGTGCACTCTCATTTTGTAAAGACTAATGTCCGACTGTCACCAACACTTCATTTCATCACCTGATCAGACATTTACAGATGATTTAATTTTTTTGAATTTCCAGAGTTCAGACTCGATCCTCACTTCTTTTAGTTTAATGAGACATTTGTGGATGAATTTTCAGTTATTCAATAGGAATCATGTTTGTGAGATTTAATCAAGCGTTGTATAAAAACCAGTCCAACAGTCACAGTTATCAGTAGCAAAAGAAAACGGTTATATTTGACAAACCAAAACACATCTTGGAGATTGGTTGGAACGAGCAGCAAAAATATTATCTACTAAAACTTAACATGTATTTACTTGGATAACAATAATATTTATTTATTTATGTATGTAATTATTTATTTACTTCACAACAAGCCCTATAGGTTATAGGTTATAAATTGTAAGTCGCTTTGGATAAAAGCGTCTGCTAAATGAATAAACATAATAAACATGAACATACTTTTTTCTGTTGAATATAATAATCCCATTTCTAATTCAACACCATGGAAGATGTCAGATCCGTATCTGCCTAAAGACCTAAAAGACACAAGCATAATTTTACTCTAGCTTTTCTTGTCTTTTTCAATTACATTTTTTTCTTTTTTGGTTCTCTACAAATCTGAGGGTCACACTTCTGCTGACGTTGTAATTTTTCTGTCTTGTCTCTTCCTTATTATGAGTCACCTGTACAGGACTTTGGACTAAACTGCATTAAAGATGTGCTACAAACAAAAAGCCAAGAGGAGGACAACCCTTGAATACTTAAAGAAGTAACTAACCGTCTCTCCTGGTTTGATGTTGGAGCAGTGCTTTAGATCAGGAAACACGGTACCGTTTGGACAAATGGTTGTGAAGGACATGCGCAGCTCCTCTGTGTCTCCAAGAGCCTCCAGTTCAATCTCAGATCGCAGTTCCTGGAAAACGGTTCATGGACATTATATTATTTATGCAGATAAAAACAATAGAGAACATATTTTTTTAAATCCTGACTGTGTTGTTGTGAAGTGGAATTTCCATGCTCCTTTCACCTGGATGTGACCTGTAATGAGCCAGCTGTTCCAAAGCCCTGTTCTAATTGTGTCGTTATGGGTGACTCATCATCCAGGTGTGTAACTGTATAGAGCACCTGGGTTAAGAGCGACAGCTAAGCTCAGGTAGAGAATGAAATGATGAATTGAAGGATGAATGGGGGCTGACGAATTGCCCAGATTTTAAGGGGTTCAATTTAAAACCATTTTACAAGTTTTAATCTCGAAAACACATTACAATGAAATAAACATGGATTAAGTCTAAACAGAATCAAGATTGATGTTAAGTTGATAAGATACATGGTATTTAGAGTAGGATGGCTCAAATTTTACCTACCAAGAACATAATGGCAATCCAAAAGTCCAGTTAAATACTGATTATCAGTTTATTATCATAAAATATTCTGTTAAATTTTTTTTTTACATCTACAATCAGAGTGATAACAGGGAGTTATTTTCTTTGTGGTTAGTGTGGACATAAACAACGTAACCAGCAAAGTAATTAGAGGACTGCACGCCACCAAGCTAGTCACCGCCGCCGGGGGATTTATAAAATGACAGCGTGCGAGGGGTAGAGGGCCGGGAAGCAGCAGAGAGAAGGAAAGAGTCAGAATCCAAAGGTGGAGTGAGGAGATCAAACAGATGGGACAAGAAGGAACTTGCTGCTGAACGTGTCAACGCAGGAGAACAGAAGCAGAGGGAAAAAAGAATCAAAAACAAGTGAATCTAAGAAGTGATAAAGATCTGTAATATATATAAAAATGATGATGAGTAGAGGGGTAAACAGAGGTGCTTGAGTTCAGACGGGTTCCACAGACAACTTGATTTATGACACTGTAGTTACGACTTTTACTGCTTCACTGTTTATGGCAGGTGTTCGTTTCTCTTTGCCTATCTCTTATCCCTGCACGTCCATCAGGACGGTTGTTTATTTACTTTGTATGCTGTCACGATCAGTTCCAGGATGTTCTTCGAGTCTGCCTCCAGGACTCCAACGGTAGCACCAGGTATGAGATCCGCATAGTTCTAGGAGCAAAACAAAACAGATGAAATGGTAAAGCCAGCGCTGTCATGTGGGTCGTCTCGCTCGTATTCTCAAAAGTTAAGAGAAGTACGGAAAGAGCAAAGGAAGAAATCTGGGCTAGTTCTAACAGGCTGAATGAGAATGCAGCTCAATAGATAAATATGTTAACCTCAGTAAGCATCACACTCACACATGCATATTTTCTTTTGTTGCTGGGATCTGCTCTAAAAAAAGCTAACTTCACAGAAGAGAGTGGTTACCTTGTAATTTTTTATCTGCTTTTCTGTCACAGCAAATATCAGCAGGATGTTGTTTTCTACCACTTTATCAATCAGCTGGCCGAGTGTTGGATACTCCTGAAAACAACAAACAAAAAGACAAATGCTAAATATTTATTGTAAGGCTAATTATTTATGACGAGTGAACTTATTTTACAATTAAACTAAACAGACGTAACAAAACTTAAGTCTTAAAAAACAAAGTCACCCCCAAATCAACTTTTTTTTTGCTGATAACTATATTGTGTCTAATTGTGCTGTACACAGGTGTGGTCAATAATTTGGCACTTTAGTGCATCTTAGTTAAAATGTTAATATTCTGCCATAAACTGTCAGTGTTGCAACCTCTTCGGGTGAAAACTCTGCACTATATTTGAATTTAAATCTGCCATCGCTATTGGCTAAGAGGTATCCTATGACATTAGCTGGTACCATATGATGTCACAATGCTGCTGTGAGCCTGTGTGTGTGTATTTGTTAGCGGCTCCGCCCTCCTGGTCTGGTCTGGCCGGGCAATGCCTCTTTGCAGCTCAATTTTCAAACAGGAAAAGGGAGTGGAGTCGGACTCTGGAAGGGAGCGACTTGCTCTTTGAATAGAAGCACTGCTGAGGATAGCTGGATCAGTCAACACCATAATGCAGAGTGAGGCTGCAACTGATGGAAGAGGATGAGCTGACCTGGGTTCAGCCACTAGACAAACCTGTCTAATTTGATCTAACTCAGTTTATTCACACAACATCAAATCGCAACAAAAGGTACATTTGTTGTGATTTGAAAAAAAGAAAAAAGACAACAAATTAACACATTTTGTCACCTTTTATTTTAAAAAGTGCAACCTAAAGTATTAGCTGTCTTTGCAGAAGATGCCCAAACTAATTTCCTTTATTGGATCAATCTGTTTACCTGCACTGTGGACATGGAGTATTCGTTGTTAACATCCAGGTGACACTTCCCATCATTAGGAATCACAATTCCAGCCATCCTACTGTCCATTCCAAAGTGTGAATCAGCATCACTAACAAACACCAGCAGACGCATTGAATTGTTCCTCCAGCCGATCTTGTCCTACAAGAGACAAAACGGTGATGACCAATCCCATAATGAGATATAAAAAACATCCGAGTTTTTTTCTCTCATTTTTTAAATCAATTATGGATTACGAGAAACTGGTGTCAGTCTCAGTGGCCAACAGATATGAGGCCAGTCCATCATAACCCTAACCCTTCACCACCTTGCAGCCCTCTGAGAGAACAGCTTTAAGAATTTTAGTAAGATCTTACCCCACAAACAGATGCTTGCATGATGGCGTCAAAGCCACATTCAGGAATATCAACGTTTGCAGTCACAAGCTGCTTAGCAATGATCTGGTTAAACTTATCCGTTCTGCTTGTCAGAGACAAGCTGTGTTTGTATCCAAACGTTGGCTGGCAAACCAATGACGAGTCACTGTAAAACACCAAAAATCAAACAAAACCAAGCTGGTGAAAAGAAGAAATCGTGAGGCTGCATGAAGGGGTCTGGTCATGCTTTGATATTTATCGGGCACCTGCAGGGGTTGGCCAAATCTTTCTCTGAGATTTTGATGAAAGGAAGGACAGGCTTCTCCACAAAAGAGCCGAAGCCCATTCGAAAATTACTGGTGAGGTGGGCCATCTCTTTAGCCAGAGAAGAACCCAGGTCTTTGATCGTCTTAAGATCATCGATCATGGATGCTGACAGGTCCATCAGGTAGTAGATGTCCACAGGATAGTCTTCTGTGTGTTGAACTTGAACCTGGAAAGTCACCTCACTCCCTGTGAAGAATAAAAAACTAAATGAATAAACAAACCAGCCATTTCTGTCTGAAAATGAGGACGCATCTCAGGAGGAAGCTGAATGACTAAAAAATAATCTGGACTGTGTACCCGGTCGAAGCTTGACAGATATTTTTTGCGGGGAAATCTGAGTGCTGTTTGTGTTTGTCGTCTTCTTCCCAAGTGGCCAGTCTTGGATAATTTGGGCTTCAGAAATGGGGAACAGGAGACGTTCACGGGCACACCCTTTCTCCAGCAGCTTATCCAGCGTGTCACATCGCTCTGTCGCTGAAAACCAGTTTGTAAAATTCTGGTGGAGAAATGTCACAGAACATAGGGCGTTAAGATTACTGAGGATTATAATAAGAAATCACAAAAAATTACATTCATTTGTCTTTATGCTTATTTAATTCATGCAAGAATGTTTTTTTTACCTCCTGTGTGCACCAGGCACAGTGAGGACTGAGCTGCAGACACTCATCACAGGTCACAGAGCTCCTGGTTATACATGATCCTGTAGCAGAAACCACATAGTCAACAATGAGCCAAGAAATCATCTGAATGAGTGAAGCCTGCAGCTGCAGTTATTCATCTATTAGCACATATAAGCAACTTAACTGTCAGGAAAAAGTGCTGTGGTATTTAACAACAACAACAACAACAACAATAATAACAATAATAATAATAATAATAATAATAATAACAATAATAACAATAACAACAACAACAATAATAATAATAATAATCATAATCATAATCATAATCATAATCATAATAATAACTGACTATTGTTGCTGTCCTGACATTGAAGCTTTTAAAATCCCAGCCTGGTACTACTTTGTTTGCACCTGACAAACTTGCTTCCCTTTATCCTTTCAAACCGAGCAGAGCTTCGCGCTTACCCTCCACGGTGTTGATCCAGCACCGGAGAACCGGGATCAGCAGTAGAAACCACATGAGTCCGTGAGGTTACTGAATGAACAGAAGAGGAGTGTTTCAGGTATTCTCAGGGGCTATATTTACAGGAGTGAAACCAACCCATGCCGTCTCAGATTAAAGCAGACCAGGAGAGCGCTGCCGCTCCGCTGCACCTGGAGAGGAGGAGCTGCCTTTACCTGCGCGGCCACTTCCGTTCAGGTGAGAAAAGGGAGGCGGGAGCGACGGATCGCACACCTTTTCAAGTTTTCCCCCTTTTCTTTTCTACAAGACCTTTAATGTTTAAAAACTAAAGAAACAACAACAACAACAAAAATTCTAATAAATGTACAAGAGAAGTTCAACTGTCACGTGTCGTGTTTTTATCACCACATCAACAGATCACACCACATCAAGTATTGTGTTTCACCGGCATGAGTGAAAATGATTACATTTCTTACCAAGATGCAAAAAATATAGAACGAAGAAGAAATGCTGATTTTAAGCCTTTTAATAAAATAAAATAAAGCTATAAAAATACAAAATAGTTAAAAATCATAGCAACAGATATTTATTTATTTCGTTAATTTCGTTTGTTTTGTAATCCTATTTGTGTATTTATTACAATATAAGCTGATCACTACTGAAAAAATTAGCTGATGATTGATGTTTTTTATTCTAACTTGTTAGTAATCAAGAACAAAACACTGTAGTCATTTTCTACTTTGAGCTCTAAATTTTCTATTTAATTGGTCACCAAATTTGTACAATTAAACTTTAAAACTAATTTATTAAAGCATTTTTTTTGTTTATTTAATGTCCATATTATGTCTGATTTCTGAGTCTTTGCATGTAAAAACACTAAGAAGACACTCTCATGTAATTAAATCTGTATAAGTGAATGTGTATGGATGCACTAATCTTTGTTTAGCCTCCAGTCTTCATGTATTTATTGTACTTTTGTTAAAACATAATAAAAGAACCCAGACAAGCACCACCATGTGCAACTATTAAAGCAGACACACTAAAAGCAAGTAGGTTAATATTTAACGCATGAATCACAGTTGGTCCATCTTATGAGTTTTTGACTACTGACAAAAACAACCTTTCATGTCTATAAGTCCGACGTGTTGCACTGAGTGTGTGTGTGTGTGTGTGTGTGTGTGTTGAGTTCATGAGGTCAGAAGGGTGTGGCCCTGTGTAGGTGTTGAATCATTGACAGCTGCAGTAAAGATACCACTGCTAGTCCAACTCGGAGGAATCTTACAATTTAGCACCACGCCTCTTCTGAATCTGGGTAAGTCCCATCTGTCACCCCAATCCAAACCCCACCTCTCCTCCTGTTATCCACCCACCCCTCCGCCCTCTCCATGTTCTGTGCAGACCCTTTGTATTTTGACCCACCTCTCCCAGTAGCCCTCCTGATCTCTGCATCTGTGAACGGGCCGTTTCATTCACGCCTCCATTGACTCACTTCTTGTCATTAACCTTTCTGTCAGTCTTCCTCTTCACTCCTGTGTCTCTCTCTCTTCTCACATCTCTTCTCATCTCTTTTCCTCATACATATATAAAAAACTCAACATGATGCAACCAAACTCCAAATCATGCAACTTTTCATCTTTTCAGATGATGCTTAGGTGCAATAAGGTGACACATTTGCACCATGTCACCTTGGCTTTTTGAATGTGACACCATTCAGTTTAGTGAGCTCGCAACAAAACTATTTCACGGTTTCAGCAGATTATTGTGTAGATGGCAGCTTTCATGGGGGATCCTGTTATAATTTTAAAAAAGAATCAGTCTCATTAAACCTTTCTGTCAGGTCCTCTTTTGAAATGCTCCACATTTATTAAACACAACTGACTCACCTCCATTGCTGTCCGCTGATAACATGCTGTCCAGTCTCAGTCTTTCTCTCTCGCAGCCAAGTAAAAAATGGACAGAAATCAGGCCAGCACCGTTAGTCTCATTGTATCCCAGCTATCGTCAGAGTAACAGTAAACCTATTGTAACAGCGCTCTTTATGAAGCATGGCGCTGGGGTGACCCTGCTGCCCATGCTCCCTGGCTCATGTGTGCCTTTGTGTGTGTGTGTGTGTGTGTGTGTGTGTGTGTGTGTGTGTGTGTGTGTGTGTGTGTGTGTTTGAAAGTGGGTGAGTGGGTGTGCATGCATGCATGTGAGGGTCATGTGTGGGTGTTTGTACAAGCTCCAGCTTGCCCTTATGTGTGTGTTGAGGGAGTGTGGGGTGATAATGAGTGACAGTGACAACTGCAGGCTGAGTTCTCCACTGGAGCCGGCTTCTCTGTTAGTGCCTGATGTTCTGGAGTTTCACTCTTCAAGCTGCACCACAACACGCCTGGCTCTGTGTAAGAACAGTGATAAGTCTGGATTGTGTGTGTGTGTGTGTGTGTTTGTTTGCTCAAGTTCAATTTACTTCCTGCAGTGAAAATGTGGAGGAGACAGAGAGGAGGGCCAGCACTGTAATACAGCCTCCTTCATACAGCGGTATGGCAAGAATGCAGGTGTACACACAGCCTTGCAGGAAAAATAAATGATAAAAGCAGCTCCACACGACACAAAACAGAAGTTTAGGTAGTCTTAAAGCCAGCGTTTGGACACAATGCCATTAGAATGTTTTTCTAATCCTCTCAGGCTCAAAATAAGTTTTGACAAAAGGATGAACAACTAAGTCCTTCACTTCTGAGTTACTTCTGAGTTAAAATATGCTGATGAAATACGTATGTGGGGTAACCAGGTAGGTAGGATTTAACTGTTGCAAATCTGCAACACCTGCCTCCAGAGGGTTAAATATCTAGATCCATAAAAAAACTCCTGAGATACTCTTTTTAAAGGGAGTAATGTTCATTAACTTCAGTGTATGAGTGTACAACAATTCTAGTAAAGTGGTGGCCCGAGCAGCTGGAGGCTCCAAAAATCAGAACAGAAAAAGGAAGAAAGGGATTAAGTACAATGACAGCCCATTTTGAGAATTAAACTTATTCTAATTATGAATTTAAAGAAAAACAAACCTAACTACATTTTTCATTTAGGTTTTACTTGTAACCATGATAAAACATAGAAAAATGACCATGGTCAAAGTGGAAAGTGCTTTAACAATTTCACTGAACACAAACGTGTGTGAGCTTTTTCTCGCTGCTTTTGTTAGCTGATTGTCATCCGAGCTGGTGCATGAGGAAGTTTGTCAGACAATAGCATAAGAGGAACTTAAAGTAAGAAGGGATGTGTCTGCTGTACTTTATGACAGTGGTTTAAACTTTATTCTAATTCTGATAAAGGTGTTGAACTACTAAATGAATCCACTTAAGAGTCAGAATGACTTTGTTCAGCTTTGAATCAGTCTGTATAAAATAAATGACATAAGGTGCATTTAGAAAATGTTAAATCAGAGTATTAATAAATTATGGGCTCTGTGTTAATTGCTTCATCAACATATTTGCAGATGAAATTAGTCTATGTATTTCCTAAAACTAATCTCCTATAGCATAAATGCATCATAAAACTCTCCTATCTTCAACAAAGATGTTCACCTTCAGAAAAGCTGAACACAAGCCAGCACTTCAAAAATGCTGAACTTTCGCACAAAAATATTAAATTTACTCTTATAAACCTTGTAAATCTTCACCAGTATTTTAGAGATCTGATTCTGTTCTTGACAAACGTGAAATACAAAAAGACTCTCTGACGGTTTTCTGATAAGAGGTTTGTCTTTTTCTTTATCATCAAAAGTATCTTTCAGCTTGTCTGTTGGACAACAGAAGAAAGTTGAGTGCTTTATTGCGGAGAACAGGTGTGAGGTAGAGCTCTGATAGTCGTGTTTATATTTAGCCGTCCTCGTTTATTTCCTCTTTAAAAGACGTTTTATAGACCTAGAATCCTATTTCATAGGCTATTCCTGAGCCTGCATCTCTTGGATGCGTCCTGCGTGTTGAATAGCTGAAGTGTGCCCCACCAAATGAAGGATATCGGATATTCCTAACGTCTGTGCACCCCCATCCCAACCTTCTCAGGGGATCTGTGCCATGTGTCCCCTCAGCTGTGGAGAATTAAAACAGAGACAGATAATAGAGGACAGGAAGACAGACTACTACTCCTGTCTTATTTTTAAAGGTCCGGTTTCCCTACAATATGCATTTACATGTGTGTGTGTGTGTGTGTGTGTGTGTGTGTGTGTGTGTGTGTGTGTGTGTGTGTGTGTGTGTGTGTGTTCTGGAGCTCAGGCGTGATGGGTAGTGTGATGGACGGTGCAACAGCTAATCTTGCGCCCCGGTGGTTTTGATCCCTCTGACTGGTAACGGATGGAGGCATGGTGCCTGGGAGTCTCTGGGATCAGCTGTGCTAAGTCTGAGCTTAAGAAGCAGATCCGGTGTAAGAGTGAAACTACAAAAGCTCCGGGCCTGAAATAGTCCAGGAAATGGGAAGAGCAGGAGCACACATGCTGCTCATGTTGCCCATCTGATCCATTATAAGCTCCCACCTAACACCAAAAGATACCCAGGACTGAACACTTGTCCTGGTAACAGGGAGGCTGGGCTGTTTACCTCACAGTGCCCCCTGCTGCTAGACGCCTGTTACAGCCCTGCCATGTGTTCATTTCTGTTCTGGACATGTGTCAAATGAATGGATTAAAATGTCAAGGACAGCTTTGTTTTTTTATACATTTGCTTGCATTATGAGGATCAGTTTAATTGTGATCTGCTGTTGAAAGAATGTGCAGAAGTGAGACGAAACAGATTTTGATGCAGCAAATTACAACATCAGTGAGAGAAGGACACACACGTGTGGGTATTATGGACCAAAGAGGTTGTGCAGGGGGAAGATACAGAGCACCATGGACGTAATTTTTTTTGGGGGGGGGGGGGGGGGGGGGGACAGGGGGGACATGTCCCCCCACTTTTTCCAAAGTCAAGTTTTGACCCCTGCACTTTTTACCATCCAAAAACAATATTATGCTATATTAAATTGACACTGGTTGAGCTCTAGGACCAAGCGGAAAGCAACCGTTTGTGTTGAAGCCTGTTTCCCCTTAGAACATATTGTAAAGATACTCCCCCCCCCCCCCCCCCCCCGTGTCCCCCCCACTTCTAAAGTGAAAATTACGTCCTTGCAGAGCACGATAATGAATCAAATCTTTTCACAATTGTCTTCGCTACAGCGAGGCTGTAATAATTTTGCACAACAACTTTGTGGTCTTTTTAAAGCTTCAGGCTTAAATTCTGCACCAAAAATGATATATCTTCTGTTTGAAAATGACTAGTCTCACCACAACTACACTTAAAAAAGTTGTAATGCTTGGTAATCATCAAAAAAATACAAATTTGAAAATAGTGTATGTAGGAGCCTGAACTGAGGTGAATACAAACAGTGACTATAGTTGCTTAGTGGTTCACTTTTTATGTCACTCTTTATTGATTTAAAGTTGCTTGACTGTTAAATGGAAGTATTATTTAAGTTTGAAATTTGAAATTAGTACAAGATATGAAGGAAAATGGTTTATTTGTTTTGCATGCTTTAATTTAATGAGCCAGTAGGGGATTGTTTCTTTGATTGTGTAAATAAGAAAAAGAAAAAAGGAAAAAAGGTGTATGGAGACTTTTCTCAGACAGACAGACAAGACGGGGAGTGGAGCCAGACAGTTTTTTTGACCACCCTCTGCCCTTTAATTCTCCTTACAATTTTGTTTCATTAGCAACTTGTGGAAAAGTCATTTGTATCGTTTTGTTTTTTCGTACCATTTAATTTTTAGTAAACAGTTAAAATGCAAGTGGACTCTGAGGATTCTTAATCCCTTAATTTTTTGGATAAAGATGGAGGAAGAGGGTTATGAGAGCGTCAGATTAGTCTCCACATATTTTGGATTAACATTTTTGTCAAAAAAACTTGCTTCATGTGGATTTTAGACTAAAGAAAGAAGGACTGGTCATTTTGTGGATGAAAGGCAGAGAGCAAGAGTTTAATTCAGGAGTGGGGAACCCTGGTCCTCGAGGGCCGGTATCCTGCATGTCTTTGCTACAACACTTCTGATTCAGTGGTTGGTTCACCTGTTCTGCAGCTCATCAAGCGCCACAGAAGCTTGTTAATCACCTGCTGATTGAAATTCAAAATTCAATTCAATTCAAAGATACTTTATTAATCCCAGAGGGAAATTAGAGTTTCAGTACACACAATTCTGAGATCAGACATACATACATAGGCAAAGACACATGACAAGAATTGGTGACTGGTCATTCGCAACCCGAGTCGCACTACCTTAATAGAGATCAGAGGGTTTACATGAGGATTGGGTCAGGTGGAGAAAAAAAAAAGGCACATCAGAGTCACCCTCCACAGGGAGGGCAGCTTTGCTCTGCAAAAAACACCTCAGACAGAAATGCAACAGAATTCAGACATTACACAACATAAGTGTCCACTAGGTGGGGCGGTAGGGTTTGGGACTCTCCACACATCAGTGCATGCAGCCACGATAAGCAGCGCTCATCACCTCAGTCTGGACAGGGGGAGGAGGTCGACGGGTTTAGAGGGCACAGTGACTCCTGGAACGATTCAGCGGCCTTCACAGCTCGCAGACCCGCCCAGGCTGGGATGGGGACACAGAGTTGCCATGGTGACAGCAGCATTCCACATTAGGCTCAAGGGCACCAGATTCAGATAAGAACTTGTTTTGGGGCCAGACAGAGATAATTTCTTCTCTGTCTTAAAGTTCCGTTGGTCCTCAACCTCTCAAAATCCAATAATGGTGTAATTAATCTATTCCAATCCGTGCTGATTCGTCAACTCGCTCCTTGATCGCATCCATCTTTTGTGCCAAAGCATGAATCTCAGCCAAAGTTCCAAGCTTACGACTCATCTCGACAAGTATATGAGTCAGTGCATTCACAGCGTGGTGTAATCCATCCCTGAGCTCCGGGATTGAGCCAATGTTCCTCGACAGCTCGTTAATTTTCGGGTAAGCCAGGTAACCTCCCAGGCCAAAAAGCAGGAAACATGACACCAACACAATGAATATCCATATGTCTTCAGAATCCTCTACAGACCGTTGAGAGAGGCATATCAGGTTCCACTGTTTCCAGGAGTCCATGATATGCCCAACTGACTCTGTCCCAGAGGGGCACCCGGGAGCCCCTTCTCCCGTTCTCATCATTGAGAAAATGTTGTCAATCGCGTTGAGAGACCAGCTGACCAGGTCCATTTTTAATAATTTCCAGTTTCCAGAAAAAATGTAGAAGCGCCGCACACCCAAAGACAGACAAAGAACCTTAGGGATAAGATAGGGAGGAGAGGAGGAAAAAAGCCTCTGTACTCTCCAAGAGCCGGAAGATCAGCTGTGTGGTCAGGTGTGATGATGCAGGGTTGAAACTAAAATATGCTGGATAGCGGCCCTTGATGGACCAGGGTTCCCCACCCCTGGTTGAATTGCTCGTTACGGATAGCTGCACACTCGGAGAACACTGCGTGGTGAGTGTTTTGGCTAATTGACAACTTGTGAGGACCGCATGTGCCGTAGCTGTCGGCTCTGTTTTTCTATAAATAGAAGTCAATAAATGGTGTATCTTGGCTTTTGTGGAACAAAGTTTGGACAACCTACATGCCATGGATGAACAGACTAGTGGAAAACGGACAGTAAACATGACTGAGAAGGCTTTAGATGAGCATATAGCCAAACAAATTCAAGCTCGCAGCAATAAATGATCTCAGCTGACTGCCATGGAGAAAAAAATCGAGCAGTTGATGGAAGATGATAGCAATGCAGATGCTGTGAAAAATAGCCTTTGTGTTGACTTCAGTCGGCTGCAAGATGAGTTTTCAGACTTGAATGCAGAAATAAAGCAGTATATGGCAGAAGAGGATTTTCTTGAGGACCAGAAGAGCTGGTTTGATCCTAAAATGAAGTTAATTAAGGACTTTTTCTGGAGATGTGAAAAGTGGATGAAAGATGGTTCGAAACGTTCTGAAAGAAGTGTGATAAACAGGTGACTCCTGAAGACAGCAGATCAGTGTTGTCAAAGGTTTCCAGGAGCAGTAGATCTCAAAGCGGGAGTGCATGTTCAACATCCTCATCGGTCCGAATAAAGGCAGAAATGGAACATGCATCATTAAAGGTCAAAGCTGCGGCTTTACAGAAAATGTTAGAAATTGAAACGGAAGAAGCAACCTGGGAAGCACACAAAAAATTTAGGTTGGCTCAAGAAAGATCAAGAGAGGCGGAGTTTGAAGCTGAGCAAAAACAGAGTTGAAATGGAGTTTAAGGCTAGGAAGGAGATGAAGGAATTACAGGCCGCTTTGGCAGAAGCAGATGCAAAAATGGAGGTTTTGCAAAGATATGAGAATACTCAGGAATGCAGAAGTGTCAGTAAGGTGGAGGAAAAGAAGTTGGACATGAAGACTGATACCAGGTTGTCGCAAGAGAAGCATGATGATTTATCAGATGTAAAGCACGCTGCTCAGCATGTTAGAGCACCCAGTGTCTTGCATATTCCGAGTAAGACTGAAATGGATGAACCAGTACTAGATAGTAAAGCTGTTTCTCAGCAGGCTACAGTCACTGAGTATCTGGTGAAGAATCATAAAGCATCACTTCTTCCCGACCTCATGATCCCGATATTTAAAGGAGACCCATTGGGATACAAATCTGTCATCAGAGCTACTGAACATGGGATTGAGAGTTGCACTGACAATGATTCAGATTGCCTTCAGTTTTTGCTTCAGTGCACAGGTGGACAACCGCATGAGTTGGTTAAAAGCTGCCTCCATATGGAACCCTCAGCAGGTTATGTTCATGCAAGGCAGATGTTAAAGGAGTTCTTTGGAGATGACTTCAAGATTGCTGAGGCGTATGTGAAGGAGATAACAAACTGGCAGGTAATCAAACCAGAAGATGGCCTAGCGTTGCAATCCTTTGCGCTATTTTTGACAAGTTGTGCCAATGCTATGGCTGATATTGACTACATGGAAGACTTGGATAACACTGCTAACATCAAGTTGGTTAGCAAGCTTCCGTACAAGCTTAGGGAGGCATGAGAAAGAAGACTTGTGATCAGGAGAACACACAAAAAAGAGTAAAGTTCAAAGACTTTGTTAACTTGTCAATAAGCAGGTTAAGTACATGCTTCATCCGCTGTATGGAGATATTAAAGAGATGACAGGTGTGAAAGAGCCTGCAAAGCAGAGGTTTAAAGAACCACGTCCCACAGCAGCACAACCCAAAAGAGTATTCTCCACGAATGTTTATCATCCTAAAGCTGATGTTGGAGGGCACGTGGACATTCATGAACAGGAAAATCCAAAGGGGGTGACAACCCATTTAGATGCAAAGAACAAGCTGTGTGGTTTTTGTTAAGGAGAGCAGCACAGTTTTGCTTCATGCTGAAAAGTAAACCACACACAGAAAAGATAAACTTTCTGAAAAGCAAGGGGTTGTGTTTTGGATGTTTAAGACATGGTCATATGAGCAACAGTTGTAAGGAGAAAGATCAGTGCCAAGAATGTTCACATCAACATCCTACACTCTTACACATTGCTCCCAAAGAAACAAGACAGCAGCAAACAGGAGAAAGCTCTTAAAGGCAACAAGTACCGAACGCTTTTGTTCAGATGACCGAGGTTTGTGGAGTTACTGGGGCCGGCGCAGAAAATTGTGTTTTGTCAGTTGTTCCAGTGCGGGTCAAGTCTCAGAAAGGAACCAAAGAAGTGACTACCTGTGCCTTTTTGGATCCGGGAAGTTCTGCTACTTTTGCTACTGAGGCACTGGTAAACCAGTCATGTGTTTCAGGGTATAACACCAGCATTTTACTACGCACGATGGGAAAAGAATAATTAATGAATACTTCTGTTGTAAACGGACTGGAAATTAGCAGCCTGGATGGTTATATTGTTGACCCGTTGGGTTTCATCGCTCCGGTGAAGCTACCCGCCAAAAGGATGCTGCAAGATTTGTGTCGGGGGGAATGTGGATGGGACGACAATCTCCCAGACAACATCAACAGAAAGTTTAAGCGATGGGTTGAAGGTTTACAGCTTCTTGAAGACTTTGGAGTATCCAGATGTCTCAAAACAAAGCAGTTTAGTTCGCCAGTCTCTGCGCAGCTGCATCACCTAACCATTTGCTTCTACTCAAAGTTGAACCTGAGCTGCCTCCTGGAGTGTTCAACAAAGATGGTCAGTACGCTAAACGAAGATGGAGACAGATCCAGTACATATCGGACATCTTCTGGAAGCGTTGATGTAAGGAATACCTTGTGCAGCTCCAGGAATGACAGCAATAGGCCTCATCTGGGAGAAATCTGCGTGAAGGCGATTGTTGATGACACCTCACCCAGAAACTATGGCCTCTTGGACTTGTTACAGAGACATTTCCTGACATCAAGGATTTTGTTCGTCAAGTTAAAGTGAAAACCAAGACCAATGAGCTTTGTCGTCCTGTCACAAAGCTGTGTCTTCTTCGAGAATGTGAAGATGAATGAAGATCCTGATCACTTCTTCATTATGGACATTTTGAAATGGATAATCATTTTCTGTGTACAGTTCAGTCACCTTCAGTTACGTGTTTGAATAATTGTTCCAGAGAAGTTGATAACAATTAGGGGCCGGTAATTTTTTTGTACCGTTCAATTATGAGTAAACAGTTAAAACTCAAGTGCACTCTGAGGATTCTTAATCCCTTAATTTTTTGGATAAAGATGGAGGAAGAGGGTTATGAGCATCAGACTAGCCCCCACATATTTTGGATTAACAGTGTAAATGTAATATCATAGACATTTGTTTGCAGCGTCACATTTATTCTAATGTTTCTTGCTTTTGTGAAAAAAAAGAAAATGTGTTTCCAAGCAGAAAAGTAAAATTCGCTTGATAATTTCAGCTACTTGGTTTGAAGCCTTCTTGTTTGTAAGTGGTTGAAATCTTTTCAGCAGGTATACAAGCAAAGCTCAGAAGCATGTGGTTTAGATTTGTTATAAATACGCAAGATGCACATTTTTACTATGTGACCATTTGTTGCATTCATTTCTAAATGTGCTCACAGGTGAGCAACTTCTATAAGTTTATACCTCCTTTTTAAGTATGCTGAAACATTTGTCTGATTTTTTAATTTAAATTTTTATATCTTACTTCTGCTTTGCCTCAGTGATCTTAAACTTTGTTTTTCTGCGATCTTGTTTGTGTTTTTGGTCAAATTTGCAGAAATAAACTGCAAATCATAAAATAGTCCCTGAGAACTGTTTCTGAGGATTACATTTCACACCCACTGAGTCATCTCGTGCTCATTTTAAGCACAACCATAAGCATTTTGTTTGGCCTTGGGGCCTCAGGACAGAAACACACACACACACACACAAACATATGCATGCATCAATTACTTTTTTGTCATTGTGACAGATGTAAGAATAGCAAATGTTTTATAATCATGTATTGTATTATTTATTTACACACAACCACCTCTTCTTTATATGAGAATGTGGAGAATGGTGATGTTTAATATCTCCAGTGACAGGATCACAATCATTTCAGCTGCTCAAAAAAACATGGAGGCAAATCCTTTAAAAAGAGACAGGAGTCTTTTCTGAGAAAGAAAGGGACATTTTATTAATGAATGTTTTCATTTGTCATGTTTTCATCAAGGGAGAGAGCCAAAGGAAGATTGATTGAGATTCAGTTGGAGGTGAAAGGAGGAAGTGCTGAGGATAACATTTTTTTTCCTTCCATTTTTACATTTTCCCAGGAAAACTTTTCAGAAAACCTGCCTGGATGTTCTGTAGCTGTCTGAGTCCCACAGATCAGAGAGAACCACAGCGACCACACGTGTTTAAGACTTTTCCTTAAACCAAGCAGACAATGAAACTGGATTTTGGTCTTGAGTGTGAGTAAAGTTCAGGTCATTTTCCTCAGATGGTCGTGTGAGTCCTGTGATTGTAATGTCCACCAAACAGCAGTCAGGGATCGACTGCTATTGAAACGCAGAACAGTCAGACGTGACCTTCTCCTTCTACAGTGTTTGGCTGTAAACGGTTTAACTAACAATCTAAACTCTGTGAACTTGGTCGGCTCTAAGGAACCAGCTGCTTCACACAGAAGCAGTCTTCTGATCTTTAAAATGGAGCATCACAATTGAAAAGCTGTAATCACGTTGAGAAAAGAATCACCTGAACAGAAGCAAAGACAAAGGACAATAAAAAAAAATCTAACGCAAGTAAGAATGTTTTTTTTCTTTCTTTTTTGAATTTGAAGATTAGGAGGAGCATCGCTGCGTGTGTGAGACAAACAGCAGAGTTCAGCCAGCTCCTGAGCGTGGCTTCAGGTTCGTGTCGTCCGTTCTGGTGAGAGGGGGCTTTACCTGCAAACCCGACAGCACCAGCTGACTCCAGCAGAACCCTGAGGTAGATAACTGGTAGATAACTGACAAAAAACAAAGCCTCCAAATCGATGCCCATCGGGTGAAAAACTTGGAATTTCACAAAAGTACTGCTCTCGTTTCATGTCCTGTCATAATAATTCTTTGAAAAAAGGAAATAGGAAAATAAGGAATTACCATGCTCTGAGTTGGCCTCCATTTTTTTTAAATCACTATTGCCGTGGAACTCTCATTGTCTTTATTGCTACCAAACAACTAGATAGCGAAACATTAAAGAGAAATCTCCATGATTTCATGCACACAATTACAAATATGACACCTGATCAAGTCTGATGACAGAATGTTTTGTAGGAAAGGCACCGTTTCCAATGATAAATTTAATAATTCCTAATGAAATGGTCATGTGTTCTGTTCAACGCTCGTGTGCAGCTGGGCGTAAAGTCATCTGCTGCAACATTGAAAACCAAAACGAAGTTCTTCTAAAACTTCGGTGCAAACCAGGTCTGCAAAGTTTGTCACGTTTCACAATAAAAGGAGCTCTGAAAACAAGGACACCTCAAAGGTGGAGGGGAAGATCTGAGTCTCATGCATTTTAATGGAAGTGGGGCAGAAGTGGAGGTGGGGGTGGGGGTCCTCTGGTTTGAAAAAGAGAAAAAAAGAAGAGTTTCTTGTTTATTATCAAAATAAATCTACTTTTCGTTCTTTTTTCATGTGATTGACAGACTGTTTGAGTCATTTTACATCGTCTTTAATTTTCACTAAAAATGTTGGGACTGTGCAAAAAAAAGGTTCCTGTATCTGGTCCGATCAGGGCAGGCTGATCCCCGTGATGTCCTCAGCAACTTCTCACCTGCCGTCTGGCTCACAGAGCTGTAACGTGGCCTGAAGTCAGACACATAAGCAGCAGAAACACTTTTAGACGAGCCATTTGACAAATGTTTCATACTTGCTGAGGAAAGATCCACGCTCAGAGACTAAAACACACCTGTGTGTCACTTGCTGAGTTGACTGTACGGAGACGAGTTGTTGGAAGAATCCACTTGGTGCAGCGTGCCATTTTCCTGCAAAGCAAGAACATTGTCTTTCATTTAGAATCTGATAATAACCATCCTCAACGTGGGATAATTGGTGGTTTTAGAGGAAAAACAACTCATGGTCTTATGAATGCAGGACTCCTGGCCTAAAGTGAACCGTTTTCATTTTCTGAATAATTACTGCTTTTAGATGCATAACAGTTAGATGGGTGTTGTTTAGAAGGCATTGTAGGTATTGTGTGGCATGAAGCTTACGGGTGCTGCCTGCATGGGAGCGTACTGAGGCATGTATGCTCCCTGGACACTGGAGTGGGCAGGAATATACTGTAATGGAAAAGAAAGCATGGTGAAAACACAGTAATTTAATTTGAATTGATTTAGGCTGTTGTTGATGGTGTGGTATTTAAAGGCATGTTCCACCTGTTGACATTCTCCCCATAGTTACATAAGCAGGAAAACAAAAATGCAACCAGCCCAGTCATTTTCTTGATCTGGCCCACCTTTAGCTTTAGCTTAGAATAAAACAATGCAAGTGAATGGTACCGACTAGCCTTGAGAGTGAAAAACGTTGATAAAACTACTCAGTAGTGATCCTAATTCTGCTTGGTGACCTCACTAATCATACTGACTGCAAGTGAAAATCATAAGTAACACAAAGGAATCACAGGAGCCACATTAGACTAGGGACTATTTAATGACAAAGCACAGCTGTAAGCTTCCACTAAAAGGTGTAAACACACGACACCCTAATGCTTCCATAAACACAAATGTTAGCAAACTGCCGAAACAACGGCGCTCCAGCGCAAATGCAGTGTGCCATTTTTTTCTCTTGCCGTCATTGTGTGTGTGTGTGTGTGTGTGTGTGTGTGTGTGTGTGTGTGTGTGTGTGTGTGTGTGTGTGTGTGTAAAATCAAACAATACCTCGTGAATCACCAGATAGATTTTAATGATGCTGTCAGAAAGTAATTGTTCTTCAACTGCTTAACTTTTGGAATCAGTTTGATTCAACACGGCTGCAACTGCTACTCAACTTTAGCTAAATTTTAAAAAGCCAGAACTTTCAATTTTACAGCTAAGGAGCTAAAATCTGGTGTTGTGTTTGTGTTAAAGGTTGCAATAGTATGCATTATTATCAAGAGTCAAGCTGATCAACAAAACAAAATATGAATTTAAAACTTTGGCCTGATGGGTGGTGGGAGGTTAGCATCCGTTTTAGAAAATCTAGACCTTTAACCCTTTGATGCATAATGGTCACTACAGTGGACAGGTACTCAAAATTGTTATTTATTTATTTTTGCTGTTAAGCACAGCTGTTGAAGACTTTATTGCATTTGAGCCCCTCCATTTAGACTTCAGTAAGCCAAGCTAACATATTTCATGCTCAGAATGCACGCTGTCCACTGAGATGGACATGTAATAAAGTATTTGTAAATTAACAAAATTGTACAAAACATATTTGTTGAAATTTTTTTCATTCACACCTAAAGATGAATGAAAAAATTTGTTTAAAAAATCATGGTTGAAGATTTCATAATTCATGCATCAGAGGGTTAATTCTTTGTGTGCTTTAGGAAAAAACTGGATTTGATTTTGACCAATGAATACTGAATACTACGTAAATATTAGGAACCATTTAAGTATAATATAAGTAAAGTTTTTTCCTACTTCTTTATATTTTTACAAGTCAATCATTTAAATTCATCACACAGAGTTAATTAACTCCCTGATGAAACTGGTCATTTTAAATGAAACAAGGCAGCATGATGGAGTGCATCTCACTCACAGCTCCAGTGTTTCCCAGCGACAGCTGGCCGATCTGCTGAGTGATCATGGCTGAGGGGTGCATTGACATGGAGGGATCCACAGAGGGAGACATCACTGCAGCCTGTAAAACACGACAGTTTTAACTCACATCACATGACGAGAGTTTAACAAGCTCAGTCCTGCTCTCTCTGATAAAAATATTAGCTGCACGCTGGAGGGCGTGGGGTGGAAAGAACCTCAAAGTGCTGTACAACTTTAACCCCTGTAGCGACGATTGTGAGATTATTGTTTGTGTTTTGAAGTAGAACGTGTTCTGGAAATCTGTTGGGGTGTGACTTTGCCAGCTCCTCTCCGTTCTTAGCTGGTGTGTGTACACCTTTAAACACAAATGCCTTCTGGGAATAGTTCATTTCCCAGCAAAACGTGGGGGGAGGGAAGGGAGCAGAGACACTTGTTCCAGTGGAAACCATCTGTTGGAGGACTCAAAGAGTCACAAGACTGTCTCTGCTTCAGGCATTTCCTGCTGGATCCACAGAGGGGGAGGGAGGAGGGGCTCGGCGTCTCCTTGGTTGTTTCATTTCTCTTTCATGCGCTCTCCATCACACATGTACACACTTATATGCAACACACACACTGGCTTCGTCCCACAGCCTGTGTCAGCTTGGTGTTTCAGGAAGTTTGATTGTTGGGTTGACTGTGTCAGCAGAACTGGCTGAATAAAGAGTGAGCAGCAGTCAGCTCTGAGCTTTAGCTGCAGCGGCGCCTCACACCCATTTCCTGTAGCAGAAATAGTGTTGGAGTGTCGTTTTGTTGTTCCCTTACCGGGTGTTGCATGATGTAGGGTTGATGTGCCAACCAAGAATGACTCTGAACCTAACAGAGGGAGAAAAAAATAGACCAATGAAAGAACAAATTACTGTTCCTTGTTTGTCAGCTGCTACAGGGGCATGAAAACAGTTAGCCTTCAACCACCTTCTAATGGCTTTTTGGTTCTTACTGGACAGACTTTAAGCTTTTATTGGTAATTTTTGAGGTGCTTAATGCTCACATTCACAACACCAATGACATCAGAATAAAAACACCCTTCATAAATATATCTATACACCATGTAGGACACATGAGAGAGGAAAAAACATTCAGCGTTTAATTAATTTATCTTTGTTGCTTAAAGAGAATATTTGGTACCTGGTAGGCTGAGACTGGAGACATGTAGGGAGACATTGCAGGCTGCACAGTCATTATTCTGTTGGTCACTGGATATGGAGAAGGATAATACCTAAAAATAAATAAATAAATAAATGAATAAAACACACAAATTACAAAACTAAACTCAAAGATTTATAAGATAAAAAATCTTAAATTGTATTGTACAGGAGAATGTTCCAATATTAAATATTTTAAAGGATCATAACTAAGTATGAAAGCTAAAAGATTAAATGTGTATAATACATGTTTACGGAACACTACTAATAATTTTCTGGCCACTTACAGAAAATTAAATTATCACTAATCTCAGATGGAGTGGCCGGCTAACAAAGCATTGTTTTTAAATAAAGGTTCACAGAGTCAGGCGGGTCATTAATTAACCCAGAGTCATTCAAACACATGTCAGCCAGAGATCAACAAACATGGTGGTGGTAGCATCATGGTTTGGCTTTTCTGCATGAATCTAGTCTGAATTCTGCAAGCTTGTGTTGTTAATGGTACTGAAGGTAACTATGCAAGTGTGACAGCAACATGACACCAACTGTAAGGGTTCTGCTAAAGAGGACTAGTTACAATGATTCAAACGACCACGTTTAGGTCCTGACTGTCATAAATGGATACTTAGTAAGTAACTGGTTAGAGGAAACCTATGTTACAGAACCTGCTTTCCTCAGAGGAGTGAATGTTGTGAGTAACTTTACACAACAAAGTGAAACGAAACCTAGATTAGAATTGTGCAAATTTGTACTATTTTTATCAAAGCCCATTTGTTGTGCTTGTTTAAAGGTGCGGATCACTCGTTATCAATGCATTTACAGTGGTGCCTAGTAGAAAATAATGCCTTGTAAGTCGTAATCAGGGGTCAAAATGCACCAGTGCGCCATTTCCAGGAACTAGCAGTGAGCCACAACACAGCTGAGTTTCAGACGGTGGCTATTGGAGTCTTATTTCCTGATATTTGAGCATCTTGCCTCAGATTGGATCACAGCAACATGACTCTACCACTGACTTGCAACATGGATGTATTATCTCCACAAATGATTCAAGCTTGGAGGAGCTTCTGCCTTGTGGGGATGTTGCTAATGCTAACAGTGAGCTTCTACTAGCTGAGGCATTCTTTGCTGATTCCTGGACCCTAAAACAACAACAGCCTTCCCCGTAGTGAGTCCAGATGGGTGTTAAATGACAGTGTTATGTAGATCTGTCAGGATCACCATCTCTTTTCTATCAGAAGCTAATGCAGGAGATATGTAATGCAGGAGATATGTGTAGGAGACTATTTCCATGTTCAGCCTGCATGAAAATCCCAGACATGAATAATCAGACATAAGATTAAAAAAATGTTTTTTCCGTGTTCTACAACCAACTAACTCCTCATCACCACCCTGTAATAAAACTCTTACTTACCCGGTCTGAATGGCTGCTGAGGAAGGGTCATAGGTCAGAGTCATCGCACCCTATGAAAAAAATAATAATGTGGATAACAAAATTATATTTTATTGTTGAAATGTAAAAAAAAACAATATTTATTATCTATTAACAGCATAAATTAGACACTTGTACAAAGAATTTTAATAAATTATTTGGTAACACTTTACAATGAGGGTCCCTTCATTAACATAATTTGGTGCATTATTAAGCATGAATAAACTATTAAAGTATTAACAACTGCTTAATATTAATGCTAAAATCAAGTAATGCATTATTAAGCAGATACCCCCCTCCCAGGCCCTTTGTCCTGTAACCTTAAGGGCACTTAATAGTTAACAATAATGGTAACGTTAATAAAAGGACCCTTTGTTTATTAATGCTTAATAATGCACTAAGTAATGTTAATAAAGAGACTCTTATTACCAATGTTTTCATGATCTGGCATCTAAGTAAAAACAGCTGGGTTTATTTAGACTCAGAAGTTTGAAATGAAATGTTTTATTAGAATTTAGTTTCTCAAATAATAAAAAGCAGATATAGCTGAAAGTGAAGCTTATTTTATACTTTTTCAAGTCATTTTAAAACATTTAGGTGGCTTTTTTTAGCTACTAAAACTGGGTATTCATGGAAATACTAAAGAAAACTCATCCATTAATAAGCAGCACGATGATAAATGAACTTTACATATAAATAAGTTGTACACGTACTAGTCTGAGGTCTCCCGTCTGTCCGTTGGGAACAAATCCACCGTGAGCATGTTTCTTCTTTTGACTGTCTGCAAACTTACACAACAAGGGCTGAGACGGAGCTGGGGGCAAAACACAAAACCAGCAAATCAGCCTCCATGGTTTTCACTTAGGGAGAAAGCGTCCAGAACAGGAAGTGTTTTCTTACCCAGCGCTCCAGAAGCTAACTTCAGGAACTTCCCGTTGAAGTGTGAGATGACAGCACTACACTGATCCGTCGTGTCCATCCTGACAGACGCAAGCAACATTTTCTTTAACACAATTGCTAATACCTTCACCATTTCAAGTGCTGTGAGATATGATCAACTCTATGTTATTATTGTGCTGTTGCATTAAAAGAATACCGGTACTCATATTTTCAATAATAATGGATAAATCACTCCAGAAGCTACGGTGTGCCACAGCCAAGGATTACATTTTATTACAGGAAAGGACCCCTTTGCTAACAGCTTTATTCTGCAACAGCTTGAAAGATGAGCCAGTAGAAAATAAACGAGAGCGCTTTCTTTCAGTCTCCTGGGACAGACCTGGCAAAGCCCACGCCTCGGCTGTTACCGCTGTAGTCTCGGAGAATTCGGGTGGAGACGACCTGGCCGAAGGGCTGCAGCATCTTCTCCAACTCTTTCTCATCCACAGAGAGAGGCAGGTTGGAAATGTAAAGATTTGTCGGGTCCTGTTCCTGTTGCTGCACAAAGAAAAACAGAAGAAAAAGAACAAAGAAACCAAAAGCCTTATTTAGCATGAAAGATTTGACAAAATGCAAGAAATGTCACTGATGATGACGTCCTGAACCGTTTACTCTTTGACAAATTACTGGCTGACACTTGACTCCACATGAAATTGTTTAATCCGGGCCAGAGGAACATTTGGCTAAAGTATTATTTCTGAGCTCTTCTGCACAAACAACACACAAACTCACTGCAGCCCACTTCATGCACACTCTGCAGCAGCTTAGCGCCTCTACGGTCTCCCTTAGAAACAGCAGGAGAGCAGCGTCGCCATAGCTACTGCAACACACAAACCAGGCTCTGCCATGTTTGTTCGAAACTGAGCAGCCACAGGCTGGTCTCAGGAGAGAACCACTCATCAGTGCACTCTCCTCCTGTAACACAAAACTAGAAAAACTAGAAAACGGAAAGAAATGCGATGATGAGTGCAACCGCAGATGTAGATGACATAGAAACATCCAGTTAGTCATCTTATTACACTTGGAGCCAAGTGTAATAAGATTTTACCAAAAAATATCTGTGTCTAAAATGTTAATTAAAAAAAAAACGTTTTAGTATATGAAATGTTGAGGTTCTTCATGTGTTAGAGGAATACAAAACAGTACGCATAAAATTAAGATTTGTTAAGAAAGTCGTTGATCTGTGCGATGTTTGAAAAATGTTTTGACATTTGAAAAGAAATTTCAAATAAAGGTTGTTTATTACACTCTGTGCCTAATTTCTTTTATTATAAATTCTTTGTCTTGATTTAAAACAAAACCTATTAATGATTCTTGATTGCAGAAGATTAATCTTGTACAGTTGCTTGTTCCAAGATTTTTCATCTCAACATGGGAGGGATACAAAAACAGAAAAAAGCACCAACAGGCTAGTTTTGAGTTAATTTTATTTAATTTTGCACTTGAAATTAGTGTTTCACTATTTGTATTAAGAAATTTGGCACTTGTCTAAAGCGTAGATATTTTTTCTTATTTCAAGAAGTCTTACCAAGTGCAATTATCTTGCTGCACTGGCAGATTATTTCACTTAATTTAAGGTCATTCAGACTAAATTCAACTATTTTTTAGCTTATTTTAAGATGGCTAATTTTTGCAGTGCTGTGACTCGTTTTCAGTTTCTAAAAGCTACAGAATGGCTCAGGGAAAAGGTGCACAAATGCTGGTGACATCTGAGAGAGGTGGCTTCTGGTTTAACCAGTGAAAGTAAAAGAAGAGGTCACAGGTGAAACAGCTCATCAGCTGAGGTCGTGCAACCTGTTTAATGTCCTTTTCAACATGCAAATGAACAAAACTATAGAGAAATGTCTCATTCTCACACACAAGCATGTACGCAACCCACCTTGGCCATCTGTGCCTGGATGCCGCTGGTTTTTAGAGCATGTACCGCCTTTAATGCAGCAGCTGGGCTGTCGAAGTCCACGAAGCCGTAACCTGTTGTTAGTAGAGCAAAATGTGTATCAGCTGTCAGTGAAACTAAAGAAAAAGCTCTCAAGTTGGGTTTTACAGATTAATGTATTATTTATTTACATGAAGATGATCCCTGATCGGAACTGTTAAAGCAAATAAAATCGTGATTTTCCACATTTGATTTCCAGAGATAGGCACTGATCAGGCACAACATTATGACCACATTTCTAATGTTGTTAGTCCTGTCAGGACTGGTTTCCAAAAGATTTGATGTATTTAAGTCCAGCGTTTGTGAGGCAGATCTTGGACCGTGGATCTGATCTGCTTGTCCAGCATTTACCACAGGATCCCTTCAGCTGGAGTTAGACCTGGACAACTAAGGTCTCAGGCTTACACCTGCGCTCCTCAAACCCTCTTTACTGTCTGTTTGGGTGGTTTATGTGGCTAAAAGCTGTCTCTGTTCTTCAGGGAGATACGGTATTTAAAATGTGTACTAATGTCCAGGTACAGCCGTGTGAATGGCAGCTCAGAGAGGTGTTTTGTCATGCTTTCCCCAAATAAGACAAATTTATTCATTAGATTTGATCTTCTTTCATTGCTCTGTGGTCCAGATCTGATCCTTGTTTACCCACATTAAATACTTTCTGCAGAACACACGGGTCATCATGACCAATGTGTGGTTAAACAGCCCCAAACACTGCAAACCACAGCCTTTTCTGACCTTAAATTCATGCTATCTGAACCAGAACTTTATTTTTGCAGCTGTGGATCAGAAAAGCACTGGCCTTCGAACTGACTTGTCCCATCGAGTCTGCATCTGATTCATTTATTGCCCTTCCTTGAACCACATTTTGCCAGCCCTGACCACTGCAGACCAAAAACATTCAAACACAAGCTGCACTGCTGAAGATGCTTTGATTTAGCTGCTAGTTCATGTATTTCATTTTAAAAAGGCCTGAAAACAGAAATTTAAACCAATTTATCATACATAAATGCATGCCATGTGGCTGTTCAAAAGTACGAGAACAGGAAGATTAAATTCAATTCAATTCAAGTTTATTTAGATAGCGCCAAATCACGACAAAAGTCATCTCAATGCACTTCACATAGTAAACATTCCAATTCAGGTCAGTTCATTACGCCAATCAGTAAAATGTTTCCTATAAAAGGAACCCAGCAGATTGCATCAAATCACTGACTGTCAGTGACTTGATGCAACCCTCATACTAAGCAAGCATTTAGCCACAGTGGAGAGGAAAACTCCCTTTTAACAGGAAGAAACCTCCAGAGGATCCTGGCTCAGTATAAGCAGCCATCCACCGCGCCTCGATTGGGGATCGAGAGGACAGAGCACACACACACACACACACACACACACACACGCACGCAACCGCACGCACACGCACGCACACACACACACACACACACACACACACACACACACACACACACACACACACACACACACACACACACACACACACACACACACACACACACACACACACACACACACACAAAACATATATACCAAGTAATGTTTCAATGGTTACATTGTGATTTCTTAGTAAATGTTCTATTTGGTGAGATAAACTTTATTGTATTTATCCTAGTGAATCTATAATTAAACGGGTAAACTAGTAGTAGCACATTCAATGTCAAAGAAATTAAAATGTTATTATCAGGAGAGGGAGAATGTTTAAGCGGTTATCAACAGTGTTCAAGCCGAGATATTTTAGAATAAATCTTTAACATTTTCATGCATGAGTATGGCAACTAGTTGGGAATTTCCCTCTCATGTGTTTTAAATTGTCTTTAGGCAGGCAAGGAAAGTGCATTTTGAATTGTAAATAGGTTCTGCAGTGACACACAAGACACTGATGTGGGGGTCAATATGCAAAAATACCAGAAACACCTCACAAAAACATCAGAACAGCTTTAGAATAGCTGTCCACAGCTATGAACACTAGAGGGTTAAAACACATCATCTTTATGTTTCAGTCTCATGTAGTTAGAGACTGTTTCCCATTTATTTCCATGAGGAGTGAAAATCTGTTTGTGGAGCCTCTAAACCCGCCTGTCTCGGATAATCCATCATAATCTGCTTTTGTTTTTGTCAAACTTTTGTTACCATGGCAATAAAACACAGCAGTGAGATTCTGCAAATCAGATGGCTGGGATGCGAAAGCGACTGAAGTTTTGACACAAATGGAGGCAGACAGGTTCACTCTTCACCCTCAGAATGATGGATTATCGTCCCAAACAAGCACCAGATTACCACAGATTGATTTTAAGGCACCATGCAGATGATAAGAGACATGGATGCTGAGTTAAAAGTCAAACGATGTTTACCTAATAAAAAAAAAACTACAACTATTATGGTATTTATTCAGGGCGTGTCTTTACTGACCTTTACACTTGTTAGTCGTCTTGTCCAGGATTGCTTTAGCAGATTGAATCTTTCCATACCTGGATGCACAAAGGAGATACATATTTCTGTCAAAGGTGCTATTTTCATTACTTGCGGGGTGAAAGGCACGCTCTACTGAGCCAAAACAAATCAGATTTTAATATTTCAGAGTTTGTTTTCATCTGCAATGCTACGCTTTGAAATGTGACACAAACTGTGAACGACTGCGTGGACATGCAGACTACACAGACCGAATGTCTCGCTCGTTTCAACATGCGGACCTTGTTGCTATGAAAAGCGCTTTCATTTCTGCTTTGTACTGGCAAACACCACTGGGAACACGAACAAAACACGAGCAGACAGGACACAAACAGCTGCTGCTGCTGCTGGTTTCATGGCTCAAAGCCTCTCCCTTCAATGTGCTTTTAATTAAAAAACGAGACAACTCCAGTAACGATGACCACACTAATCACTACGATAGCATCAACTCATATCACAGATTCTTTGTTCATAAAGTATCAGGCATTAGAGCAGCTATTTCTGGTAACTCTGTTGACCCTGTTCCAGTTCATCCATCACCACCCACCCTGAGCTCCCTCAATACTGTTTCATACTCAGGGCTGAGTAAGCTTGATGCGAGGCAGAAGCCATCTGGCTCTCCACTTGACGTTCTGCTGCCTCGCCTCTGGAAGGCTGCCTTTCAGTGCCTTGGCCCTTCACTTGGTCAGATTATCAATGGGAGCCTCAGCACAGGTGTTGTCCCAGCTGCTTTGAAAGCAGCAGTTATTCGGCCGACCCTGAAGAAACCTGGTGCTGATGTCTCTGTGATGGAAAATTACAGGCCTATCTCTACCCTGCCTTTTACATCAAAAGTGCTTGAGAAAGTCGTTTATCAGCACCTGGTCTCACATTTAGCTGACTCTGATCTGTTTGAGGTTTTCCAATCAGGGTTCAGGTCTGGCCATAGCACAGAGTCGGCTCTACTGAGGGTCCTAAATGACATCTATCTATCACTAGATCAGGGTACATCTGTAGTGCTTCTGTTGTTAGACCTGACGGCAGCCTTCGACACAGTCGACCATGCGATTCTACTTGATCGCTTGGAACGATGGGTTGGGATCAAAGGGTCAGCTCTGGATTGGTTTAGATCGTATCTCCACAACAGGACATTCTGCGTTAAACTGGGTGATGTTTTTTCATCTTGGGAGGGGCTCCGCTGGGGGGTCCCGCAGGGATCGATCCTTGGTCCTCTTTTGTTTGCCATTTATCTGCTTCCTCTGGGGTCAATCTTTCGTAAACATGGCCTATCATTCCACCTCTATGCTGACGATTGCCAGATTTACTCTCCATTGTGTCAGAAGAAAGGTCACTCTATCCAGTCCTTTGTGTCCTGTGTTAACGAGGTGAAGTCTTGGCTAATGGCCAACGTTCTGCATCTGAATGAGGGAAAGACAGAGTTCATTGTTTTTCACCCCAATAGCAGGAATGTGTATCGTTGTGTTGATCTTGGCCCTCTTTCTCCCTACTCAAAACCAGTTGTTACCAGTTTGGGAGTGAAACTTGATGCTGGACTTAAATTTGATGCTCACATCAATTCTCTGATCCGGTCCGGTTTCTTTCACCTGAGACGCCTTGCAAAAATCAAGCATATGCTGTCGAGAGCCCACCTGGAGAGGGTACTGCATGCCTTTGTTATTTCTAGGCTTGATTACTGCAACTCTCTCTATGCAGGGTTGTGTCAGTCATCACTGCGTCGCCTACAGGTTGTGCAGAACAGCACAGCCAGGTTCCTGACTGGGACCAGGAAACGGGACCACATCAGTCCGGTTCTGGCCTCCTTGCACTGGCTTCCGGTTTGCTATCGCTCACAATTCAAAATCCTCGTCTTTGTTTAGCATTTCTTCCAGAGTGGTGGTCCCCCTTAAGCCGGGCGTACACTGTGCGACTTTTTCACGATAGCCCACCTGGAGCGGGTACTGCATGCCTTTGTTATTTCTAGGCTTGACTACTGCAACTCTCTCTATGCAGGGTTGTGTCAGTCATCACTGCGTCGCCTACAGGTTGTGCAGAACAGCACAGCCAGGTTCCTGACTGGGACCAGGAAACGGGACAACATCAGTCTGGTTCTGGCCTCCTTGCACTGGCTTCCAGTTTGCTATCGCTCACAATTCAAAATCCTCGTCTTTGTTTATCATTTCTTCCAGAGTGGTGGTCCCCCTTAAGCCGGGCGTACACTGTGCGACTTTTTCACTTTTTTTAGCTGATTTTCCACTCGTGCGAGAATCCAAGTGATCGGGGCCAGTTTTGCGCCGAGCGTCGTGTAGCATACAGGGGGTTACGAGAGGTGATTAACACCATGTGACCAGCTACCGATCGGCAATCGTGAGCTTGCACGGACTTCTGGAGTGTTTGATATTTTGCTCGTCCCTCGTGAGGGTATCGCACTGTTGAAGTGGCGCTGCGAGCAGCTGCGACCCAAAATGTATCAGAACCACTCAGGGCGCATGCGCAATCCTGCATCAACACCGCTCGCCCGCTATTTCCCTAATAACACATCGTTCGTTTTTATTTCCACACATTTTTTACTCAAAGATTGTCAAGAAAGCGTGTTTGTTGTGTTCATGTCAAATTAAACTGATCAAAAATTACTTTCTTTATTTCGTTTTCCTCATCCAACCCCCATAAATCCCTGTGTGTCCTCCTGCAGCACTCCCGAAGGACAACAGGCAAAACAAGACAAAAAAGTCTGACGTGTTGAGTAAAAACTGCTATTTTTAGCATATTTTTAGGGCCGACGTGTTGCTACCAGACGTAGTGTGAGCAGTCAGATCGCATCCGAGAACTGGGTCGTGCAGTGTGAGCGCATGACTCGTGAGATCTGCCCTGCGAGGAAGTCGTACAGTTTGAGCTGAAGCTGAACGCTGCGAGTGAAAAAGTTGCACAGTGCACACCCAGCTTTATCTAGCCACACTCCTGAACAAACATTCCCCATCATGCGCTCTGCGCTCCTCTGACCAAGGCCTGCTCGCTGTCCCTCGTTCTAGGTGTCGTACTCGTGGGGGGCTTTCTCAGTCCTAGCACTGTCACTCTGGAACCAGTTGCCACCCTCAGTTCGGCTGTCCCCATCTCTGCCAGTCTTTAAGAGTTGCCTAAAAACATACCTCCTCCGCTTGGCGTTTCCTGAACTTGTTTGATTTTGGCCCTCTTTTATGTTGAATTTATTTAACAGTTTTCATTGGTTCACTCTATCCATTGTTTTACACATTTGTCCTGTACCAGAATGTTGTAATTTGTATTTTGTAATTTGAATTGCTTGTATTTTTGATTTATTCAATATATTTACCTTCTACTGTACCATGTTCAGCGCCTTGGGCTTCCTAACAGAGTTGCGGAAGCCACTTTATAAATAAAGCTTTGATTGATTGATTTGATTGATATATCAAACACGGTCACTGGACTGCTTCATCATACAGCTTTGTTTTCTCATTGAGAGAAACGTTACGCCGCGCAAACATACCAACCTGTGGCTATTTCTTCCACACGTGTGTTTGTGTCTTTATGGAGACATGGAAGTGTATTTATAACTCAGCATGCCACTGCATGGCTCAACTAGCATGCATGTTCAAAAGGCCACCTATAAGGAACAGATTGCGCTTTTTGGAAGATAACTTTAGTTTTGGACATTTTTTTTAAATGCTGTTTATTCAGCACCTTTCCCAAAAACTATTATCAACAAGGAAGATGAACCAGCAGTAACTTCAAATGTATTCCTGAAACCTACGGTCCTTTATTTTGTCAGCAGCTCAAGCTGAGACGTTCACCTGCTAAGCTAAGCTAAGCTAAAACTTAGCAGGTGTGACAAGCAAGGAGACTGGAAACGGGGAGAGTTGTATGATAAAAGACAACAAAATCTAAATTTAACAAATTATGTTGATTATTACTTGCAATGGCATGGCGCTAGCTTTGTGCTAATGCACTTCAAAATAAATGTTTAACATTATTGTATCTTGAAAGGAATAGTTGAGATTTTCTGAAGCACGTTTCTGTAAAAGCAGCATGAAGGATGAATATATTCCCTGTAACAGATAGCGGTTGGAAAACATTCAGCCTGGAGAAACAGAGAAGAATCCAAATCATCATAATCTCTAAAATGTTCTCGCAGGTCATGTTATTTTTGCACCACCACATTGTTACTGGCATTAATTACATGGTTAGTCATGGATGAAATGGGTTAGGGTTCGGAAAATATGTTGGGAAAATGTCAAGAATTTTTGACTGGAATAAGAATTGAGACATTAGCTATGAAAAGGGAATTTTTTTTGGCAACTAGAGGTAATGAAATAGCATTGGTGGTAACTGCTATAATTTATTAAAACTGGAATTGTTTTAATGCAATTTGTAAAAGACTGCATTGTCCAACCAGAACTAATCTGTGTTTCCCTAAACGAAGGCTGTTCAAAGAGCAATCAACAACAAATAAGATTTTAATTGATAGAAACATTTCCACAGAGCGCCACTTCCAAAAAACAAAAAAAAAAAAAAAGAAATATCGCTTTAATTTTCCTACAGTTCAACCTTTCCAGAACTCTTAATTATTATGACAAAAACCAAATAAATGAATGTGACAACACCGGCTTTGGGATTAGGTGAAAGACTCTACCTTTCCCATTAACATCAGAGCCTGCAAGAGCAACTATCTCATCTTTTAATCAAGTCAGTTAAAGTGAAATTTAATTATTCAAACACTGTGTGCACCAGATTTCAAGTGAACACCATGAGTCTGCGATTGTTTATCTTCAATCATAATTAAACCTCTGCAATCAAAGACTTTATAGATTCAAATGGATCCAAAACAAGAGACTGATCTGCATGTTTGTGGTTTGGACAACTAGGATGATCACAGTAGACCCTTCGTTTCAACAAAAAAGTCTCTAGAGAGAGAGAGAGAGAGAGAGAGAGAGAGAGAGAGAGAGAGAGAGAGAGAGAGAAGAGAGAGAGAGAGTGTACTCACTGGTGACAGAGTTTGACCAGATCTAAGTCTGTAGTGGCAGGCGGCAGGCCGCGGATGTAGAGGTTAGTTTTGCTGAGCTGCTCCAGGCCTGTGCTGCTGCTGCTGTTGCTGCTGCTGCTGGGACTGGACGGAGTCATGGGGTACGACTGCACACAGGAAGCCTACTGTTAGGATGTTTACAGGACCTCGATAATCTAATTTAAACACGGGTCAACAAAGAAAACAAGAACATCCCGTCTGCATAGAAACATACATGAGAAACGATCTGACTTTTGCTATTTCATGCTACATTAAAGCAACACTGGTCAACGATCAGCACTGTTCAGTTCATTTTTATTTCAAACATTTCACACATGTATCATTACAAAATATAATTCCATTATTTGTTTGAGAAGGAGTAGGCAGAAGTATTTACTTATTTGTCCCTACCCCCTAGTTTTACCTCTTATTCATTTAATTTTCTTTCAATCTTAAATTAAACAAACAACATATGAAAAAAAAAAGTATATATATGTATGTATATAAAATAAACATTGGAGCCAGTTATTTACTATGTGGCTCCTATCGGGCACTAGCAGGGCCGACTAAACATAAGAGCTATGGTAAAACCCTGCTGCAAGTACTAAACAAAAACATGTTCCTCCAGTGGATTTATGTAATTAGATTGTTTGACAGCAGAATTACATCTGCTTCATTAGAGGCAGTACTATTCTGCTTAAAAAAACATTTTCTTGTGAATTGACTTTTTATGAATCACTCTGAGATAAAACCTGCATTTAATTCATACATCCTGCTTTCACTACACACCACATTGCCCTGCAAAGCATTTCCTTCCCTTTACTCATTCATTAAAATCGCTCCCAGCCAGATCAGATCAAAGGCAGAACATGGCAGAATAACACCATCTGTCCATAACCAATGGATAATCCACTTCAAAAGCCAGAGAAATGCAACTATTCACCAATTTAAATAAAAAGACAAAGAAAATACATTTAACCGCTCTTTCAAAGACACGTGATTGTTAAATGTTACGACTTGTTTCTTTCACAGATAAGAAAAAAAGAATTTTTGGCAGAGACCTCTGGGAAGTCTGTTATGTGCTTAAGGTCACCATGATGCCCCAAAAGGCAGGTCAGGATGGGGGCAATCTCCCTTTCCATAATTATGTTTTTAGTCATTTAAACTGAAGAGAAAAGAGCACAAGCTTCAGTGAATTTAGCTTTTAGACTTCATAAAGTGAAGGACAACAATAAAAAAAGAAAGTGAAGAAGACTTATTGAGAGATTTCAATAACGTCACCAGAACGATGCTCATTACCACGGTGGGGGACACGTGATGGCGATCAGAAACAAACGATTTTTTTAAAATGCAGTTTTGTCTGTTTACTGAACATTTCCAACATGGTCTTACCCCCAAATTCCACTACCTCCGCTCCGCTGCGCTCCGCTCCGACACGGACGCCGGAGCAAAATCGGTCCCGTTCTAGTCAATCAGAGCAATTCCACTACTGCGGCCGTGCTCCGGCAGTGCGGCGCCGTGCGGCGCCCTCTGTTCCGGCATCCGGCAAAAATAGAATCAATCCTATTTTCGCCGGATGCCTGAGCACCTCCGCAGTAAATGGACAGAAATCACAACGGCCCAACAGGAAAAGGAGCAAGCACATCTTCCGTTTTTCACAATAAATCGCTAAACAAAAGGCGTTTTTTGTTTCATATGCACAGGTTTAACAACTTTTAACAACTATCAATGGCGGCTGAAGTTTAAATGCACAAAAATAAGCCATAAATACAGTTGCCACTATCAAAGTAGTCACACTTTGTTGATCCAAACACTGCTGATCTCTCAACACAATGATGGGCAGATTAAACAGCTCATTTCCGATGCTTCTCCCGCACAACGGGTGTTTGGATCTAACTTCCGCGTTTATTGCTCGGACTGTATCGCAAGATCTCGAAAATCCCGCGCATGCTTGTTTGCCCCCTCAGGTCTCCGCACCGGAGCGGAGCCGTTGTAGAGCGGGTACCAGTAAAATTGAGTTCGGAAGCGAGCGGCTGCGGAAGGCGGGGGCGGACCGGAGCGGAGCGGAGCGGAGGTAGTGGAATTTGGGGGTTAGATCTGAATCCAGCCAAGATAAATCAGACAGGAACATTTAACACAACCAGTTTACGTGTATGGATGACAGGTGTAGACTATCCAAAGGAAAACTCTTTTTTTAAAGGTGTGGGACACTCATTTAATCAATACATTTGCAGTGGACTCTAGAAGGAATGAAAAAAAAATAATTAAGTCGTACTCGGGGAGAAAAAATATACCGGTGCACCTCTTCCAGGAACTAGAAGTTACCCACGTCACAGCTGAGCTTCAGACGGCAGGTTTTGGAGTCTTCATTTCAGATATTTGCACATCTTTCCTCGGACTGGTTAACAGCATCATGCTGTTTTATAGCCACAAACACCTCAAGCCTGCAAGAGCTACTTCAAAACTACTTAAATGTAAAAGGAAAAGTATGTAAATTTTAAAAATTCAATTAAGAATAAAAGCTTGAGCCGTGCCACAGCACTACCACACCTCCTCCAAATACAGTTTTACTCAAGGACATAATGACTAAATTGTTATTTAAAACGTTAATGCTCACAGAGCTGGGATGATTTTAATTCCATAGTACAATACATTAGAAAACCATTTGTGGATGGTCTGAACCAATAGGTTGTCAGCTGCAATCAGATACACCCCATCCAGATTAGGGCTGAACCATTTAGGAAAACAATCTAATAACGATTTTCTTCTTCAATATTGCAATTGCGATTTAATTCACAATTATTTTCTCAAGGGGCTTTTCTCTTTTTTCACAGAAGCATAAAAAAATCTATGTAACTTGTACTGAATATAAACAAGTTTATGTATCTACATATTTACCTACATATAATATCAACAAGTTTATTTGTCTACATAAACACTCACAAGTAAAAAAAATTGTATTTGAAGGTGCAATTCTTTGCAGCCAGGAGCACATTGCTTGAAGGAGCATAGGTATTAGCATCAACAGTGAAAATTTATTTGCAGGAAAGAAGTGTGTCGCGTTTATTGAAGTCTTTAGTGTTTTGAGTTTTTGACATCTTGTCCATGCAGAGCTTCCATAGTTCAGTTACGTTCATAGCTGCTAGCCAAAACTCAGTGGAGTTGAAGTCTTGTACAGTTTTCTAGCTTTAGAGCATACTAACTTTATGCTTATTTGAACTGTGCATCTCCCCCCGCCTGCTCGTTGTGCTGATTTATCGCCCTACAAAGACTGTCTCTAACTTCCTTAACGATTTCTGTGATCTTGTGGCAGACTGCATCCTAAAATATGACTATGTCCTATTTTTTGGTGATTTTAACATCCATATCTGCTGTCCTGACAATGTGCTTGCTAAAGGTTTTTTTAATTTGCTAGATTCATTCAATCTAACTCAATGGGTATCATCCCCAACTCATGCCAGGGGTCACACCCTGGACCTGGTTCTCTCTTTTGGTCTCCCTGTCATGAACCTTGTGACTTTGCCTCCTGTGTTCTCTGACCACTCTCCTATACTCTGTGATGTTACGTTGCCATGTCCTGTCCCTGTGTGTGAAACTCCAGCTACTAGGTTCAGAGCCCTGGATGCAGAGACTATTTCAAAGTTTGTGGACTGTATGTCTGTAAGGTTAGAGACCTTTAACCCAGATCCATCTAACACTGAACGCTATTCACAACACTTTGATGTACTTTGTAATCAGGTCCTGGATGTGGTTGCCCCTCTCAAACTTTGCAAGTCTAGGCCTAGGAGGGAGCCTTGGCTCTCTGATGTCACACGGGCTTGTAGGCGGGCGTGTAGAGCCTCTGAGAGAAAGTGGAAAAAGGATGGCCTACAGGTCTCGCGTGAGTTGTTCAGAGCATCTCTGGTTGCTTATCAGGATGCTGTGAGGGCTGCTAGAACTGCCTATTTTGCAGACATCATTGAAACAAACTCCAATAATCCTAAGATTCTCTACAAAACACTAAACTCTGTTCTGGTGTATCAGGAGCCTAGCTCCATGTCTCCTACAGCTGCTGGAAACTCTGAAGCTTTTCACAAATTCTTTGTTGATAAAGTGTCGGGCATTAGAGCAGCTATTTCTGGTAGCTCTATTGACACTGTTCCACTTCCTCCATCACCACCCACCCTGAGCTCCCTCAATACTGTTTTTTCTTCTGAGCTGAGTAAGCTTGTTACAAGGCAGAAGCCATATGGCTCTCCACTTGACGTTCTGCCACCTCGCCGCTGGAAGGCTGCCTTTCTGTGTCTTGGCCCATCACTTGGTCAGATTATCAATGGGAGCCTCAACACAGGTGTTGTCCCAGCTGCTTTGAAAGCAGCAGTTATTCGGTCGACCCTGAAGAAACCTGGTGCTGATGTCTCTGTGATCGCAAATTACAGGCCTATCTCTACCCTGCCTTTTACATCAAAAGTGCTTGAGAAAGTCGTTTATCAGCAGCTGGTCTCACATTTAGCTGACTCTGATCTGTTTGAGGTTTTCCAATCAGGGTTCAGGTCTGGCACAGGTCTGGCACAGAGTCAGCTCTACTGAGGGTCTTAAATGATATCTATCTATCTATCTATCAGGGTACATCTGTGGTGCTTCTGTTGTTAGATCTGACGGCAGCCTTTGACACAGTCGACCACGCGATTCTACTCGATCACTTGGAATGATGGGTTGGGATCAAAGGGTCTGCTCTGGATTGGTTTAGATCATATCTCCACAACAGGACATTCTGCGTTAAACTGGGTGATGTTTTTTCTTCTTGGGAGGGGCTCCGCTGGGGAATCCCGCAGGCAGGGTCCGAAATTAAATTTTTTACTCACCGGCCGAAAATCTACCGGCCAAGCATATTTTTTGCCGGCCAAAATTCTAAATGATTTAGATCCACCTAAAGCATGTTATTCTATATTATGTTGATTCCAAACAGAGTGACAAAATAATTAAAACATCAATTAATAAGAAAAACAACTCTTTTGTCACTTTAATATTTATTTATTTATTTTTAGAGATGTTTTTATGAACTCTTTCATTGAAATCTAGTCAGACTCCTTGTTTTCTCTGTCCATGAAGTCTGGCCTCCTGCTTCTGACACCGTCTTTGTGCCAAAGCATTACAGCCTCATTTGGGTCATAGTCCTTGATCTCTGGAGAACACAGCTGCACCATGAGAATATCTGAAAGTGTGTCAGGGCTAGGGTTGTCACGATAACCGGTGTAGCAGTAAACCCCGGTAAAAAAGTTGACAATAAATAATAACAGTCTTGTTAAAAAAAAAAAAAAAAAATATATATATATATATATATACATATATATATATATATATATATATTATCTCGGTGGATTACCGTGGCTGCGGTGTAGGCACGGTGACCCTTACCAGCCACCGTATCATCTGCTGGAAGTTGCCGGCGGCACATGCGCACTTTGTTGTTTACGACCAAAACTTTCTTTAAGCTAAAGCTGAAATAATGGCAGGAGGAGACGACAGCACTCAGGACATGTATTATCCCTCAAAGAAGACAAAGTCGGAAGTATGGGCATCGTTTGGATATTTGAAGAATGCCGAGGGACAGTTGTCTGTGAAAGGCAGCAACGCTACGTGGCCATCATAATGTAGCCATTGTCTCACGACTCCGCCATCTCCAGTTCACCACTTTTCACAAAATCTTCTGGTTGCCACTGGTCCTGGTGGTTTTTCTTCCAGTTCGACGAGTTTTCTTTTGGAAGGCTGGCTGACTCCAGTTAAAAACCGCCACATTTCACCGCTAGTTTTAACACGAAGCTAACAGCTAACTTGATAAACTGATTGAATGGGATAGGTGGAAATGACGTTGGATGCGGCGTTCACGTTTCACGTACATTTGTGTAAGTTGCATGCAGGCGGGAGGAGTATCAGACATCCGTGTTAGATGACTGATAAACATAACTAATTTGGTGCATTTACTCGCCAGGTGGCAGGTAGAGCTCAAAAATGTACTCGCCAAATGGAGCAATTTACTCGCATTTGGCAAGTGGCGAGTGTTAATTTCGGACCCTGCCCGCAGGGATCGATCCTTGGTCCTCTTTTGTTTGCCATTTATCTGCTACCTCTGGGGTCAATGAGTGCGTTTACATGCAGCCAGTAACCCTTTTAAAACCCGAATATTCACAATAACCCGGTTCCGCAGGTCCATGTAAACACCGCCAAAACCCGGATATGCTCATAACCGGGTTTTTAAAAACCCGGTTACTACACCTGGGGTAACCCTTTTCTAACCCGAATGTTTGGTTGTGTAAACGCATACCGGGATATCCCCATCAAAGCGTGTGTTCTGCGCATGCTCTGTTCGCAATGAATCTTGGTCTTTTGAGTAGCGAGACGTCTTGTATGCGCCAGAACACCGGAAGGAAACAACAAGTTGGGAGCAACATGGCGAGTCGCGGCACAGCACCACACTTTTGGAGTGACGAGGAAACTAAAGCGCAAACAAACACGGTCACTATCTCTTCCGAACAGGGAAACATGTTGTTGTTTTCACGGATACCAGAACAAGAAGAACCGGAAATGACGCATATTGCGTCTGGACGTAGTCCATACGTCCTGACGCTACCCCAACGTCCGCATTTAAATCGGGTTATGCAAGTTAGAGGTAACTCTTTCTATTTATGCTTATAAGTGGGTTATTCTGATCAACTCAGAAACCCGAATACCGACCTTAACCCGATCATAACCTGGATATTGGCTGCATGTAAACGTAGTCACTCTTTCGTAAACATGGCCTATCATTCCATCTCTATGCTGACGATTGCCAGATTTACTCTCCATTGTTTCAGGAGAAAGGTCACTCTATCCAGTCCTTTGTGTCCTGTCTTAACGAGGTGAAGCTAATGGCCAGCGTTCTGCATCTGAATGAGGGAAAGACAGAGCTCATTGTTTTTCACCCCAATAGCAGGGCTGTGGGTCGTTATGTTGATCTTGGCCCTCTTTCTCCCTACTCAAAACCAGTTGTTACCAGTTTGGGGGTGAAAATTGATGCTGGACTTCAATTTGAGGCTCACATCAACTCAGTGATCCGGTCCAGTTTCTGGATTCCGGTTTGCTATCGTGCACAATTCAAAATTCAAAATCTTTGTTTACAATTTCTTCCAGGGTGGTGCTCCCCCCTATCTGGCCACTCTCCTGAACAAACATTCCCCATCACGTGCTCTGCACTCCTCTGACCAAGGCCTGCTCGCTGTCCCTCGTTCTAGGTGTCGTACTCGCGGGGACTGGGCTTTCTCAGTCCTAGCACCGTCACTCTGGAACCAGTTGCCACCCTCAGTTAGGCTGTCCCCATCTCTGCCAGTCTTCAAGAGTCGCCTAAAAACCCACCTCCTCCGCTTGGCGTTTCCTGAACATGTTTGATTCGGCCCTCTTTACGTTGAATTTCTTTCACAGTTTTCATTGGTTCACTCCATCCCTTGTTTTACCCCTCTGTCCTGTACTAGAATGTTTCACCTTTTTTGTAATTTGTATTTTGTAATTTGAATAGCTTTTATTTTTGAATTGCTTTTATTTTTGATTTATTCACTATATTTGTACTTCTACTGTACCATGTTCAGCGCCTTGGGCTTCCTGACAGGGTTGCGGAAGGCGCTTTATAAATAAAGCTTTGATTGATTAAAATATCTGTCTGCACTTATTCGATTAACAGCAGTTTTTACTTTTTATTAGACTCCAAATGTAATAATTTGGCACGTTCCTAATTTGTAATTTGTAAGAAGCAGAGGAAGGGTAAATTCCTCTCTGGCTTTTGGTTTTAAGGTGCCACCCAAGCATTACCAGTGGCCCCCATTTGGCTGCCCCCGTTGAAAACTTTCTAGACGCGCCCCTGCTAACTTTGTGTTTTTTTAAGGGGGGAGGTGGGGGACTTCAGGGGTCCAAATCTCTTTCAGAGCTGCAGCTAGGATGACATTCACAAGGGCATCTTGCAGATGATTAGAATTGAAAACTCTTTCTTCCCTGCAGGGATTCACATAGGAGGTGCAGGTTAAGTAACACGCAGTAAAGCCACTTAATCCGAAACGAGGCTTGGATTTCCTTCATCACAGTTTAAAATAAGCGCTGCCTCTCCTCTCGGGGCCTGGTTATTACATCTCCCATTTACAATTTATTGTGATCAGCTGAAAAAGTCCAAACATTAGGATGCAGACAGGCCTGTCAGCATCCTGAAAGACAGTACATTACATTGGGACATAAAGTCCTCTCCGGATTCACCCACTCATTAACCTACAAAACGCACTCCGGCTACCGTCACACACATCGACCAGAGTTGGCTGAACAAACAAGGACATATAATCATTTATGTGTCGGTGGAGCTGTAGATGGAGCCAGCTGTTTTATCTCCTCACACATCAGAACATCCGAGCAGCGCTTCTATTTACTAATGAGCTGAATGAATTCGGCCATAAATAAAGACACAAAACAGGATGAGGTGCTACATGCCATCTGATACCCAGAGAGGGCTTCCCAATGTCATGTGCGCCTCAAGTGAGAAAAGAAGTGCAGACAGAAAATAAATGCTATGTGTGTGCGTGTGTGTAGGTGTGTGTGTTTTACCTGCTTTCGATTGGATGTTTTCAGCGGGTTGTTTGCAAAAATCATCCTGGAGGTTACAGATTAGTTAAAAAAGGGGGGAAAAAATCTATAATTACAGCGATGAGCTAGAATGAATCAAGCGATGAGAGGTGGGAAATGCCCGGTGGCTTTATAATATCCGCATCCTGACCGCGTCTGGTCACCAGCTAAACACAAACAGGAGCCGCTTTCCTGGATAGGTGTACAAACACATCTATAAGCTACAGCCAGAGGCACGCCAGAAGATGGACCAACCCTCCGGTCCGGTTCATTGATCTACGACGTCCTGCTGCAGACCGCTCGGCAGTCCCACCTACTACAGACCGAACCATCTCCGCCTCCGCGGGGTGTTCCACGTTTAATAACCCAGCGCGCCGCGGCGCCAACTGGTGCTCTTTTTGTTTTTATATTGACGCAAAATGTCTCAAATAACCGTCTCAATGTCCAACCCCTTAAAAGCGCTGCAGGGGTTCATTTCTAGGCGCAAAAGCAGCGGACGGAACACTCGTCGCCTTTTGCGTTGTTATCGTCCGTGTGCACATACCAAGCATTCCTCACCCCACCTTCCCTAACCACACACACACACACACACACGCACACGCACACACACGCACACACACACACACACACACACACACACACACACACACACACACACACACACACACACACACACACACACTTCCTCTTTATGCCCTTCCCCCAATCCAACATACATGTCAGACAGTCAGGATGCTGTAATGAAATACAAGCGAGGACTGGGCCGGTCAGGGGGTCACGTCTCAATGTAAACCCTTAACTGTGGGAGGGAGGGATTAATAAACAGAACAGCCAGCTCATATGTGGAGACAAAGGAGAGGAAGAAAGAAAAGGTCCAGAACCTTTGAACATGTTTCCTGAAGAGCAGTCACCATTTATCGGCTCCATCTAATGCAGATCATGTGACATAAATGTTTAATGGCTGGTGGAGTGAAGAGGAAGCACTTAGTCCTGATGAAGTTGGAGTCACAGAGAAACATTTCTGCTAAGTGTGTAGCAGTAAGAACTCTCCTAAAGTCAACATTTTCATTAACTCAATAAAAGGTGAACCTCTTCTTTTACCAGCTATGATTTTCTGTGCTTCTCTCAAGCATGAAGGTCTTTATTCTAATATCAATCAAAACCTCATTCAAATCAAATCAAATCAACTTTATTTATAGAGCGCTTTCACATGGCCAGAATGGACAAACAAAGCGCTTTAAATTAAAATCAAAACCATAGACTGTAAATACCAACAAAACCAAACACAATGACTAAACATGTCCACCTCCAGGTCATTTTCATTTTTGAAAAGATTTTGAGATTGAATACTTTTCCAGCTTTCGAAACCTTAGACAGATGCAGCAATATGTTAATTTGGACAATATTCAGCACACTAAAAAAAAAACTTCACGTAGTTTTAAATAAGGTTTACTGGAATTTTCTGCAGGTCTTTCAGGGTTTTCCGGTTAAATATGTCTACGTTTTCACTAAACCTTGTCTGACCTTTTTACAGTTACAGTAATTTTTCAGCCACTTAACTCTGACCTATGAATCATTCGGGCATACAAATGTCACCTGAATTCATGTGTGTCCACCACATATCCCAGAGAACTTACAAAAGAACCAGTTGGGTTTTTTTGTTCTGTTTTTGTTGCCAAATCCCCTTAAAACATTATGAGGAAATCTGGTCTAATAGGAAGTGTAATTTTTCCACTGAAGACTGTGACTCAGTCTTCACTTTTAAATCCAATCATTCATTCTGTAGAAATCCTACAGTAAACCAGTGCTAGACTCATTGTGCCCACACATCTTTCCATGTCTCTTTTTTTATGTTTTTATTTTCCCTTTTAATGAGTTCAAAGCAGGACTTACCAGCAGGCATCCTGTAGCAGGATTTGCTGGACATTTAAAAATCATCAGTTAACTCCAGATCCTTCAAAGGTTCAGGGAAGCTCTTAAGGCATCAGATTTCTCTCCCGTGTTTCCTCTTCTGACAGGATTAAGGTTTCATGTTGGTTTTGAGTTTCAGGAGCTTTCTGAAGCTCTTCGGAAAGTCCAATCGTTCCTATTTGAGCAATCAGCCGCAGATGCTGTTAACTGTGTTAAAGCAGACTGATAAATCCAATGAATGAACTCTGCTGGCAACAGACATGTCACTTTAAATAAGCAGCATTTTAGAAATCAATGATGTGTTTGGAGTATCTTCATGCACTATCAGATAACCAACAGGTTAACAGAGGTGCTCTTTTATTACTTACGTATGTTTATTCAAGGGGGACTCTGTCCAGGGTTTTATTACTTTACTTCACTTTCTCTTTACATCTTAACATTCTATTAAGATATCCTGATCTGATTACTTTTGTATTAAATTAAATTTGGATTTTTAAAGTCACATAATAAAGCTCAAGTAATTATAGGGAAGGACATCCTGGTTAAGAAAGCTGATTGTCTTAGAGTTTATTCAGGTGTGAGCGAAGGGGGGTGGGTGGTGTCCTGCACGCTTGAAAAGGAAGGGACAAAGGAATGTGGATGATTATGTGCTGCTTACACATCCACCAAAAACTCATGGAATTCAGAATTCTCCTTGTTGACCTCAGGATGCCAGCTACAAGCTCGGCACCGCAGCAGGGCCACATCTGGGCGGGTGGCTGATGCTCCACTCCCCAAGCAGTCAAGATAAAGATACACGGAGGAGTTCTTGTGAAAGTCCAGAGGTGATATGGCTTCACTGGAGTTTGTGGCTCCACAGGAAAATATTAAATGGTGCATTTTGCTTTAGTTTGGATTGTGCTGTTTGTTGTATTTCCAAAATGTTGAATACATTTTACCAGTGAACAAACAAACAAACAAACAAACAAACAAACAAACAAACAAACAAACAGCAATTAAATTTTTTCAAATTTCAAGGAATTTTCTCTATTTTCTTTGTTAATTGTAAACAAAAAAATCAACAGGCTTCATGTTATCTTTAAATAAACATTAAATTAAGCAATGCTCACATATAATATTGTTTTACGCGTTGGTGCGCTTGTAAAATCAGTCAAAACCATTAATTTTCTTTACAAATATAGCCTGGCTAGCAAGACTAAATAAATATAATATTTAAAATTGTAAGGCAAGAATTTGGTCGAGTTCACTAGGCTATCAAAAATGCCCATTATGGGCAGACTAAATGATGAACACACCGCCATCTAACGGTTAGTGTAAAAAAAGCAGAAATAAATTACGTCATTTAGTGTGCGACGGAAGTAGTTCTGAGAAAAAAAACAGAAAGCAGATTCTGGCTGATTCATTGTAGCCTGCTCGTTCTATGTCATTGCACGCATAAAGCATACTACTCTGAACACACGTAACATTGGACAGAAGGTACGTAGACACACATGTCTGAGAAAGCGAGAAGCTGCCTTTAAATGTGATTAGATGGATCCAGAGTCCGTAATTACGTTTTTAGTTATTTGTTTCAAACGGGACAGGCTAAATAGTTAGCATGTCCGTGCTAGCGGTAACGTTGTTGCGCTGTTCTATCGATGTTTATTTGAACATTGAAACTACATTTTTATTTTGAGGATAAACTAGTAAAAAGTATTGTAACTGAACGGAGAATTCCCGATTTTTAAGCGATCTGGTGCTCAATATGATGTCTTTAAGTTCCGTGACAAATGAGCTATTTTGTGAGCCATAGCCTAGTTGAAACTAAATTAGCCTTAATTGTGAAACAGCTAAACTGCCTCTATGAACACGCAATTGATCAATTCAGACATGAGTTCAACATATAACTACAAACTTAATTTAAATCGGAATGAGTTTTTTTAGAAACTGCATTCTAACTATTTCTAATCTGTTTTTTTTAAAGAGAAAATATATTACCTGTCAAATTTAATCAATAGAAGTAATTGAAATCCTAAAATTTCTAACCGGAAGTATTTGTTTATTTTTGATTCTGCATTTGGCGCTTATGTGTTCATATAGTTTTTGAGGTCCCAGCATGAAGATCTAAATCAGAGCAGATGTATGGTTCTCTATTTAGCTCCTGGATTTTATTGGTCAGGATTTCTCTGTGTGCTTTGGTTTGTAGATCTCGACATGGATCGGCTCCTGAGACTTGGAGGTGGAATGCCGGGACTTGGCCAGGTAATTGTTTATTTTGTTTGATTAAAAAACACTAAAATCTTTGGTGAATTGTGAGCTAATTAAAAATCTACTTATTAACACTACACTGTCACTGATGTAGTCTTTGATCATAGCAATAACTCAATGTTTAGACTATAAGTTTATTGACTTAATTTGTTCTAAGTTAAAGGCACAATTTTGTCCACTCTCTCACACAAAGGTTAGGGCAATCACAGCATCTTGTAATCTATTATCAAACAAAACTGTATGGAGCTAAGAAGCCCGAGAACTTAACATCTTATTTGATTTTTCAGGGACCCCCTACAGATGCACCAGCTGTGGACACAGCAGAACAGGTGTACATCTCCTCTCTGGCATTGCTAAAGGTATTCATGCATCATCAACACCTGAACTGTGATACATCTGAAATATTATCATTTCCCTAAACTGTCATTTTGTTTTCTTTTTAATAGATGTTGAAGCACGGACGTGCAGGTGTACCAATGGAAGTCATGGGATTGATGCTTGGAGAGTTTGTCGATGACTACACAGTGCGAGTGATCGATGTGTTTGCCATGCCTCAATCAGGAACGGTATGTATTCTCCCCTGTCTCACATTGTATGTGTTCTGAATAAATACTATAAAAAACAGTTTGCCGTCTTCTTGGTCACATATTTTGGTATTTTAATTGTTAAAAGTTGGGGCACAACTCCTTCGTACTTGGCTTTTTAGCTACGTTTTGCTTCTCTTCATGTTAAAATAACTTTCACAGGGCGTAAGCGTGGAGGCAGTGGATCCTGTATTCCAGGCCAAGATGTTGGACATGCTGAAGCAGACTGGCAGGTGATGTGGAACAATTTTCAGGCCTTTTAAAGACCGATCTTCCTGCTTTTTCTATTTGTTTTTTAACAGACCAACAATTTAAAAAATCACAGGTCCTTCCTAAGACATTAACTTCTTTAAGGAAATCCAGAATCATTTAACAGCAAACAAGGCTTGTTAAACTGTTGTTTCCCTTAAGCACACTTGTTTTTTTTGTTTTATTTTAGACCAGAGATGGTTGTGGGTTGGTACCACAGTCACCCTGGGTTTGGCTGCTGGTTGTCAGGCGTGGACATCAACACTCAGCAGAGCTTTGAGGCGCTGTCGGAGCGAGCTGTGGCCGTGGTGGTTGATCCGATTCAGAGCGTCAAAGGAAAGGTCTGCTGCAGGAGACTCGCTATCATCTGTACAGCTCAGATTATGTTATGTACGTTGAGTGATGAAGTCTTTTTATTTTCTGCTCAGGTCGTTATTGATGCGTTCAGATTGATCAATGCCAACATGATGGTATTGGGTCATGAACCACGGCAAACCACATCCAACCTGGGTCATCTGAACAAGCCATCAATCCAGGTGACTTCATTCAACCATTTTGTTGCTCAAGATCCATAACTAGAGATAACCGTGACAACATCGCAATTTTCCCTCATTTTTATGCACTGATCTATTGGATTCTCCTGATGTTTAGGCACTGATTCATGGACTTAACAGACACTACTACTCTATCACCATCAATTACAGAAAAAATGAGCTGGAGCAAAAGGTCGGAATCCTACATCACCAGAGATTTCCTTTTTTTTTTTTTTTCAAGTTTTTTTAAACTGTTCCTGATCTTCCTAATAACTCAGATGCTGTTGAACTTGCATAAGAAGAGCTGGATGGAGGGCCTGACTCTGCAGGACTACAGCGAGCACTGCAAGCTCAACGAGACAATTGTTAAGGAGATGCTGGAGCTGGCAAAGAACTACAACAAGGTAAAGCGGGTCCCTGAAAACATGATAAAAGCATTTTTTTTTTTGCTAAGTAAATTTAAAAAAAATTCCATTTTGTGTTAAGAGTATCTGAAGCTTTATTAGCCTATTTATGCTGAACACTTGTGAGTGCATTATTTGTGTCATCTTTTGACTCGTGCAAAAGCTAATGTGCAGGATTTCACCTTTCTGTCCGTCAGTCCTATAACTGGTATTCCTGGTGATTTAAATGATTTACTGTTACTAATGCTAAGAGCAAAAAGTGCTCCGTAAATCACACCAACTGAAACTTTCTCCTTAGGCTGTTGAAGAGGAGGACAAAATGACCCCAGAGCAACTGGCGATCAAGAACGTTGGAAAGCAGGTGTGTACATTTTGAAGCTATAAATACACTTTTTTTGTTAAGATAATTAATATTTGTAATAAACAGCACATTTATTTCTCACCATATCGCTTTATTGACTTGTTTCTCTTCTCAGGACCCCAAGAGACACTTGGAGGAGCATGTAGATGTTTTAATGACATCCAACATTGTCCAGTGCCTAGCTGCCATGCTGGATACTGTCGTCTTCCAGTGACAACTCTGTGTATAATTGTTAATATTACAACTCTTGTTTCTTTTATATAAAATAAATGTATGTATAAACCATATTTGTTGGAAATCATTATCAATGATTCAATATTACTTCCTTGAGTCTTGTTTTAAAGTAGATTTGTAGTTGTGTACATCAGATGTACTTTCTTTTACGTTAGACAAGTAAAAAATACACAACTTTATGTAATGGTTTTTGTCTTAAGTGCTTTTGAGGAAATTGACAACCTCAGAATTTGGCATTCATTTCTCTTTGTGTAGTATTAATTTTATCCACTAGATGGCGGTAAACTAGCTGCAGCGACTATCCAAAGGGCTAGACTGTCTTCTATTTAACATTTAAGTTTTGTTTTCACTTTAACCAGATCATTCTAGATAATTGGAGATTATTCCCACGGATGTATCAGGGCTTAAAATTGACCAAACACCACTTTTTTGTCACTAAATTTAAATTCACAAATATGTGACCACGAATCTGCTCCTTATCAGACAAATGAGGTCAACAAAACTGAAGATATGTCTCAAACTTAACTTAAAATTCTAGACATTAGGAAACCTCAGATTTGTGTAGTAAGTGGACACAGTTGGAGAGAATCTGATGGTTTCACATGTTGGAACAGCAGCATGGCAGGTGTGTTGTGTGAAAACACAAATGAATGAACATTTATAAACCTTGATTCTCCATGTAGGAATGACTAAATATGGCTCATTGATGCTGAATATTAATGCAGTGGCTGATGTTGACATTGCACAATGTTTAAAGAAAACCTTAAAGTGTTGTTTTTTTTTTACCTTTAAATAAGTCTGATCATCAAGATGGTTGCTCCTCACTAAACCAGAGTCTGCATTTGTAATTCATAGCAATTTTGAGAGGCTTTAAAAAGAGAAATTTTGATGAGACATTTATGCATAAAAGTGTTGCCAATAAAATAAAAGTATTTGATCCAAATCTTTCCTTTTGTTTCTCCAGTGAAAAACGAATATGATTGCCCGACACATCAAATTTGGTCAAATGAGCATTTCACAGATTCTGCATTACAGGAAAAAAACAAACAACTAAGTAGTACTAGACTGGCAGGCCAGGCTAAAGTAGTACAGCGGTACAAACGTGCCATGCGCCCTCTGGCGGTCGGGAATTTACTCTCAATTCATTTATTAATAGGTCATGTAAAATAAATGTATTTATTTACAAATGTATATCATGTTTGTAGTTTCTAAACAAACACATCAGTTAAAAAACTAACAGTTATTTGATCAAGACCAACAACGTTCATGTTTTTAAGATCAGGCTCAAGACCCACCTTTTTAAGTTTAGCTTTTACAGTTTTTCTCAATTGTTTACACACATTTTCTGAAAGCACGCCTCATATTCTCAGAACTCTACACACAAATCCAAAAAAACACACACATTAGGCAAAACCCCTCAATTAACTGCAAAATGAAACTTCACATTCAAAACAATGTTATTTCTCCTCACAATGTGATATGTTGTCAAATGACACACACAAACCATCATATGAATAGACATTTATAAAAACCAGCTGGGCACTTATGTGCTCAATGTAAAACACTATGATGAATGGAAAACACTTCTTCTCCATTCATCATAATGACTTAAGCCTTTTTGGTTCTGTGTTACACTAACTACAGACAGTATATACATAAATGTGTTGTAAAATATTTCAGAATAGTGTTTTTACACTCTGAGCACACAAATACATGGAGTGGTCACTATTGTGAACAGGGGCGTCGGACTGGGGGGGGGGGGGGGGGGGGGGTACCGTTTACCCAGGGCCCACTGCAGGGAGGGGCCCTGAGACAGCTTTGAATAAAAATATTTTATTGTTGTTGTTTCCCCCCCCAACTTACTTAATGTCTTAATAAACTTCTCTTTACCTGGATAAAGAGGTTAAGAAACAGAATTTCGCCTTAAAAATAATAACTGAATAATCTCTGAGGCATTTATCACCCCTTAAAAATGTGCAAAGTGGTTCAGTCCACACCTGCGGCCAGGGGCTACACAGCCGCATGTACAGCTAATGAGACATCGCAGATGCCGACAGCCAGAGCTGGAGGCAGGAGAGTCAGTCATGTCTTTTCCCAAGAAAGGGAAATCTGGCTTCCAGAAAAGAAAAGAAAAGAAAAGAAGGAGAAAAAGTTAATTGAACAGAAGCAAGTATTGACTAGGTTTTTCAAGAAGGAAGGTGAGCAGCAGCAGCAGAACACAGTTTTAGCTGATATTAGCTAGCTCTCAGAAGCTGCATTCATGTTAGGTGTTCAGTGTTAAACGCCTTTAGTTTCACCATCAAGATCAAATATAAATTAATTAGTGTTATCAGTGAACACACTAATTAATATATATATATATTAATCAGAATTATTATCGCGGGCGGCCGCCGCCAATTAATTCGCGGACCTCGCATTTAAAACAGGTTCACTCTGTGTGGATATTTCAGCTCCTTCCCAGTCATGGACCAGGACAAACTTGGTATCGATGGATTCGTGGTAATCTCAGGAATGAGAAGCTGCCACTGTTTTTCGTATAGCATGATGACACTGGTGTTAGAGGATTGTTATTGACTTGGTTAGATATTTTAAGGCCTATTTTAAATTTCTTTATATTTGATCTTGAAAACGGACAATCTCATAATTTGGCTGATAATGCAGGGATTATAAAATTTAGAGTACATTTCATTCACAGAGAGAACCTGGTTTATTTCATGTCATATGTATTTAATATATCAATACATATCAGCAAAACTTAACACCATGAACCATGACAGACATGACTGAAGAGCAGATGAAGATATCATGCCAGGCACTGATGAGAAAATATTACAAGGATCTCACAGCTGAATTTGAGAATGAGATGCTACACCTGAGAACAATTTATGGTGCCACATTTCCACACATTCGGTCTCCTCTTGAGCTGCTTAATGCCATCTACAGGATGCAATTACAGGGCATTTTTGGAGAAGTTTGTATTAAACTGAGGATTTTTTGCACACTACCTGTGACTGTTGCTGGGGGTGAACGGGCTTTTAGCAAACTGAAACTGGTGAAAAATTATTTGAGATCAACAATGTCCCAGGATAGACTGAACAGCCTAGCTCTTCTTTCTATTGAAAGCCAATTAGCCAAAGGATTGGACTTTAAAGATCTCATAAGTGATTTTGCTAACATGAAGACCCGTCAGTGGGCATTTACTGGAAAATGAATTCCAGGATTTTTGTTTGAACACATTGTTGGCAAATAAAAATAATTATATGTGAAGTCTGGGCATTTCACTTTTATTATGCTGGCATTTGTATTTGCTCAATATAGAGGTTAAACTAAGACCATATTTATTATCTTGTCTTATAGCATGACAAAACATGTGTAAGAGAGATATTAAGTAATTGAGCATGGGGGCCCACCTAGAAGACTTGTACCTAGGGCCCAGAATTTGGTGCTACGCCCCTGATTGTGAAGCACAATCAGTATGATTATAATATGTATAATTGACTGTACACAGTGCTGAGTGTATGCATCAATTGTGGGACTCACATAGTTATATCGCAATTCTTAGACTCTTTCTGAGTTGCCATTTTCAGCGCCTTGGGCTTCCTGACAGGGTTGCGGAAGGCGCTTTATAAATAAAGCTTTGATTGATTTTCTAGTGAGAGAAGATTCCTTACCTATTCTCATTTCGGAAAGTCCGGATGATGGATGCTACAGTGTACCTGCTCAACTTTGGCTGTATCTTTGCCCAGCCTCCCTCATTGTAAGACCATGGTTGACCACATGATCAACCAAAGTGGCTCGGATCTCATCAGAGATTACGGTCCTTGGTCTTCCTCGTCCTCGTCCTCCTCCTCTTACGCTCACTCCTCTGGCTCTGCCTCTGTTTCCAATGTTGGGATCCATTGATCCAAAACAGAAGAGCTCACCTGTTGCCCTTTTATGCTAAAGCTCTGATTGCTGATTGTGAAACTATGTGATGGGTGTTTGCCCTTGTGATGAGTCAGTGTGCATATTTGTATAGCAGTGTGTTCCTTGTGAAAACAAGATATTTTCTGCATGAAAATTGTGCCAACAGCAGAGAATTGTGTGGTGTTTTGAAAAAAGTGTGTTTTAGATTTGCAGTTAGAGTGCAAAGCAGGAATTATGCTTGTAGTTTAGCAGAATTGGTTAATGGGGTTGGTGAATAGGTTACATGGTGTGGTCATTTTGTCTCAAGTACCAGATAATGTGTGTAAACAACTGAGAAAAACTAACTGATTACTATTTATTGCATTGCTTATTTTACTTATTTATTTATTTATTTTAATTACTGTTGTGTTCCACATTTGTTGTTTTATTTGTATAAGCTTATTTCATTGGATATTTTACATAATACAGTTTAGATATTTTCCATATTAGCTCTTGTTATTTTACATGTCACATATTTTAATCCTCTCATTGTTTCCTCTGTGGAGCCCTCTGCCTCAGGACCGGTGGTCAGTGGCGGTGGCTGGGGCGCTCCTAAGGTAGTGGTGGGGGTTGCCACCCTCCCTCCCAGGGCGCCCTGGATTGGTGTCTTGGCTGCTGCCGTCGATCTGCTGCTGTCAAGGCAGATGGCTCCCTTAATGGCGTGTTTTTCATTACCTGTCCAATCTGAGCTCAGCCTAGTGTTTACTGTGGTCTTTTAATGTGTTATGTGGACGAATGTGTGTGTGTGTGTGTGTGTGTGTGTGTGTGCGCGCGCGCGCGCGTGTGTGTGTGTGTGCCTGGGAATGGTTTGTGGATTGGTGGTGAAACTGTCACAATTATTTTAAGTGTGGGAAAGGGAGGGAATGTGGGTTATATGGGCCATTTTAATCTGTTAAGCACTTTGTGTTGCATCCTATGCATGAAAAGTGCTTTATAAATAAAGTTTGATTTGATTTGATTTGAAATTCCCAGCAGCTACACCGAAAAAACATACAAAGCGACTTTCATACAGCAATAATTCTTTAGAAAAATATACAGATTATTGTTTTCAGCAGGAAAAGCATTCTTTGTCTAAATAAACTTTTAATTACTTATAATCTGTCGTTTG